CAATTTAGCGAAGCTTTGCATAATGAACATTGATCAACTGCATGTGACGGCATACTTTATTCTAAAAATAAAATCTTTCATTTCCATGTAAAATATATTATCAGCATTTTTGAGGGACTATCGAAACTTCTCCTCTCTGTGAAACTTATTCATTCATATCGATACTAAAATCAAGATGGTGTATGTTTTTTATATGCTTTCTATTAGTCCATTGAGAAATGACGATCAACGATGTTTCAACATCATTTTAACATAAAATGTATCAGATTCAAAGAGCTATATAACCAGGATTGTTTTTACTTACTTGTCTTCAACAACAAGCTATATATGATAATAATTTTGTTCTGTTGGTTTTGTTATGAGATGAAGAAAAATGTTATCTTACTTATCTTTAGAAAGCATGAAACAACCAAGTTGTCTACAGATATTTTGTGAAAAGTTAAGGCTCACCTGTAAAGTCTACATAAACAGGTAACGACTGTTTCTCGCCGAAATTCACTTTGTGATAAGATGGGATGAGTGGGTGTGGGTGAGGGTTTCTGAACGGTCGAATACTTTTTTTCTCTTTAGCACAATTTAATGATTATTTATTTTAGTATTTATTCGTAATAATCTGGAATTTTTGTTACAATTAAATTTAATCAATTATATAAAATATCTATCTACTCTTTATATTGATGTAAAGTATTAGATTAAAAGGTATGCTATGTTCGTCTTGTATGAGTCGTCGGTGGACCTTGAAAGCCTCTTGCAGAGGAATTTGCACGATTATCAGGTGTCAAGACATTCCCAGAATGAGAATATTTCTCGTAATGTTCCCTATTTCCACGATCTCGACATCCCAGGCCCCACTTGCAAGGTGTCCTTTGATCTTTTTTCACTAATGATTGATTATGCTGAAATTTCATATCATCTGCAATGAAACAAACATTTTATACATATGTAAATAGATACAAATGATCCTCTCTTACCTTGTACACCTGCTAGTCTGGTGTTTTTAATAACTTGTTCACCATGCGAATATTTGATACGATGTTTGTCTGATTTATCACGACATTCCTGTCTAAACCGACATGGTACTAGGAAATCAGGCCAGTCTGTATGACGATAAGATGCTCGATGAATTGGATCAATTAGTTTGTCGCACTTATCATCATATTGACAATTAGGTACTTGATGAGGCTCATGTGTTAAATATGGTTCATGATTTCGACAGAGTTCGGAGAAACGACATGGATGTGAATATTTGGAATTATGAGTTGTTTCATTGGGTGACAATTGAAGAAGACAATTGACGTTGTCAGGACACGGAATTAGAGGTAAATCTTGATCACCAACATCGGCCGGACTAGAATCTATCTTAAATTGTTTATCAGGTGTTGGATGTAGATCAGGTTGTTTATCAAACCAAATCATCAAATTTCGAATTGGTACTGTATGTGTACCAGTACTAATATGAACAAATTCTAATTGAGATAGATCAAGTTCTGTTTTACCAAAGGTGTAAGAAATATTAGTATGATTGTAGAGTGAATTAGGACCAGCATGAGAAAGAGTGATTTTGCCCGTTGAACGTTGAATTTCAAGACAAAAAGTCATAAAATCGTCTGTATTACATCCAATATAGAATGTGTTTGAATTTGCTGCATAATTGCAATTACGAATGACTGCGTCATGTTGATGTGGAAAGCCACTATTTAAATACGAAGCATTTTCGTGATATTGAGTACTGTCTGGCGCTGGCTTTTCAGCGACGTAACAAATCAAACTGCGTACAGTTGATACTTGTTTGCTTGAATCAATTCGTTCATTTGATAATGTTAACATCATATCACCTTTCAACACTTGCCAATAGATATAAATTGTATTCTCACGTGATCGTTGTGAACAATCAATACGATATTGAGAATATGCTTGTGATATCGTTAAAGGTACAACAATATGATTATTAAATTGTGATGGTGATACTGTTATAGCAAAGCCTTGAATAGGTCTCACTATCGAGTTGTCAGGGTGTTGACTAAATCGATCGATCAGTTTTTCTACAACAGCATCTTGATAATCAATGCGTGATCTTGCCTCAGGCTTTGGACCATATGGTTTCATTGGTGGGTTAGAATCGCCATTATATGAGATTTTTGTGATGCGATCTTTGAAAATAGCATCTATCATCTTGCGTGCGTCAGAGTTAAGTGAATTAAATATATTTTGCGGTATGTAGATATGATCGATGTAGCTTGTTGGAATGAGTTGAGGTAAATTAGCTTCAATAGTTTCATGTGAATCAACTTGCATCCAACGATTCAAAATTGATTCAAGATTAATACCCGTTGGTGTTCGGCCGAATGCAATAGAAGTCATAGCTATCAATTGCATAGCTACAGTTGGTACAAATCCTGGTATTGATGCTTGTAGTTTTGATTTGTAATAAAGTTCTGCTCGATTATTGTTTGTTTTTGAATCCTTGCCAAGCCATGGGCAGTGACGAAAAATGTCTCCACTGGCAAATGACGATGCACTTTGTATAGAGACACTGGTATCAGGATGATGTAAAATTTCTCGTTTAAAAACAATAACTATATCTCCATAATAATGTCCTAAATTCGGTCCGAGAATACACGACACGGCATTATCAGATACAGGACTAAGATTGTTCATATTTGAATGCAATTTTGTAGATACTTGTATCATATTTTGTACTATGATTTTTAATGTATTTCTATCGCCAGAAGATATAAAATGTGACAGATCTTCCTTTATTCTTTCTAAATTTGTGCCATTATTTTTTCCATATTCTTTATTAATCAAAGCGATGATATATTCCTTGGCAATCTGCTGTGTTGAAGTTGTTTTCAAAGCATCAATTCGCTGTATATAGCTATGTTGAAGTACAATATCGGCAAGAAATTTTGGGTTTTCCAAGTGTTTCATATAGTCTTGACTCATGACATATCCAGAATAAAGAATCGATTCGAATGTGATCGAATTACATCGATACACAGGTTGAACAGTGCATAGCCAATCACGAATCTTTTCCGGAACATTTTTTATTGAAGGTAGTGTGGATTGTTGATTTTTGAAAAAATTATTAATACCTGCGATGATATTCTTTTGATTTTCAACAAAATCGATATTTGCATTCACACCATGATATTTAACGGCTGTGTCATCTTCAGATTGAATAATATGACGATATCTAGTATAGTGAGAAGGATCCTCACGCTTGTTACACACTGGATCGTCACATAAACTTCGTATATCCCTTATATTCTTATGTGAAAACGAGTTAAGATGATCTTCTTGTTTAAGTTTTGGACAATTGTCATTCTGAGAACAAATAACACGAGCTACATGAATAAAATCATTTTTATGTTTCGGATCCGTATCCGTACAATTGCGGCCAAATGGACAGACATGTGCAAATTGCGAGCAATGCTGTCGAATAGTTTCAGAAGGTGAGTGATTTTTTGATGTTTTCATTAGTTCATTGTGAAATCGACAATGATATGGAGTAAATGGACAAGGAGTACGAAATGGATGTTGAAGTTCGATCCTGTGGTTTTCATCATGAAAATGGATGCAATAACCTCCATATGGACAGTTAAGTGCACAATGGCGATATAAATTACAATGAGGCTTTACATTTTTCTGAAAATCCTTACATTTTTGCGATTCTGGACATAATGGCAGATGACGGTTATCACGCAAATGTTTTTGATCCATATTTTGACAAGCACTACCTTTCGAACAATAAGATGGATGCTCAAATTGCTGCTTATGTTTTTCATTATCAATCTGTAGACATTCACCACCGTCTGGACATTGTTTTTGATGAATAAATGATTGCATATGAACACTATCACCTAATTGTGAACATTTACCATCACCATATGACATAGCACATACCGGTGGATGAGAAAAATTTCGAGCATGATTCGAATTCTGAATCTCCTTACATTGTGCTCCAGATTGGCACGGTGTCGAATCAAATATACAAACATCACTCATAGTTTCACCATCGGATAAAAGTCGGTAGGGACCAAACATCGCATTTGGTATGTTCATTGGTTTAAATGGTGTTACAGATCTTCCATTCAAGACTTGGAATGGTTTAAAGTTACCTTCTCGATTGAAATGACGACCCGTGTTATGATCGTCAATAATCGCAAATATAATTGTTTTAAAAAAACCAGCATATTGTTCAATAACTGACATGAAGAGCTCTGCAACATGATCAGGTGGATTTTTGAAAGCACCACAGCCGAGTGCGGATAGAACAAGAGAATCATGTTTATGATGATAAGCAATAGCAAATATATTTTCAATCTTTTTTCTCATTCCAACAGCATATTGAGATGTTAGTCTGTTGTCTTCTAATCGTGGTTCTCGATAAGCGGCCATAGCTACGGCACATACGTTTCCTAGTGGTTGTTTCATATATTCATAACCATGGTCTTCTGATTGACGAAACACAGTTAAACCCGATGTATAAATAGCACCAAATTCATCCATAGGATAGATACGTTTTTGATTCTCTATACGTTTCATTTGACAGTCAGATGTACAATAGAAACGATCAGACTGCTGTTCCTGATATTCATCAAACTCAATATCAAGACTTCGAAAATAATCCGATCGTCGAAAGAGATTTTCTTCTTGTGCACCATCACCTTTTCTGTAGCCTCCGCCTGGAGTTGTCGCATTAGCCATATTAAGCAAAAGTGGATGATAGTTGTTTTTGAATAAATCCTCATATATTACAAGACAATCTTCTTGAACAACTTCTACAGTTGTTTTTTCGTATGGAGTCTTTGTCAATGTTTTATTGTCACATTGTTCTAACTTCGACTTATGATCATAGACAATTGTTTTTAGTTTATTGTTAAGATTCAATTTCACTTCTTGACCATCAAGTATATAACTCTTTTTACGTATAGCAGCAATTGTATTTAACATCACAGTCGTGCGTAGTAAATGACGGATGTTGTCGGATTTTGTAGCTTTTGAATCGCGAGGATGAGTTGGTGAACGTTCGAATTCATCGAGCCATACCGTAGCATTCCATCGGTAATGAAAAATAATATGTTCAGGAGTGACAACAAACTGCATAATATCCGGTTTGTATTGAAGCATTTCGGCTTTATACCATGTAGCTGCATTAATTTCATTACCTTCTGAATTAGTTGACTCACTCGAAGTTTTTATATGAAAAATGTCACCATTAACTTTAAGTATTCCGAACTTTAAACATTCGTCAAAAGTCTTCTTATCTGACAATACAAGCGTAAGAGTCTGATCGTTATGCTCATGACTTATCACTTTACCATGAAATATTTCGTGATTGAAAATTTGTTGCATATTATATGTTTGAGGAACTGGATAAAGTAGTAAACGACAAATCATACCATTCTTCTTCGATATTGATTTACCATGAAGATTTAGATGTGTTGTTGTTACCCATTTGCGTGCTTTATCAGTGACAATAACACATGCATCGCGCGTCTGTTCATTTAGTTGAATATGAAGAGATGAGGATGAGATGTTTCCTTGCTCAATATCTTGTTCAATTGCTTCTTTCAAATCTTGTTGAGTGATTGATTTAGGTAAATTTTCAAAAAAACTGCAATCAGCACAATAATATATTCGAGCAGAAATACCATTGATATAGATTTTCTTCTTCATATCAGTATGAAGCAATTGATCTGAAGGTGTGCAGACAAATTGATAAATATTGGGAAATTGAGCATTTAGCTGATCACACAAAAGTAATTTCTCGCCCACTTGATACTTAATCAATTCAATACTTATTTCTTTCGCTGTTGGTAATGGAATATTTTTATTTTCTTTCGTTATATCCAATACAATGTATGAAACAAGCTCTAGAGTATCAGTTAATGAAATCTTTACTTGTTTACCGTTTAAATCAAATGTTAGGTGTCTATCATCGTTTAGAAGAAGATTTCTTATTTGATTGTCGAGTACATGCATAATACCGAAACCAAATTCTGCATAGCATTGTATATTGTCTAGTTCAATATTGTAAGTATTTTTAATGTGCAAACGAACTGCATTTTCTAGTTGATAAGGATCCTTAATATTTACTGGTAGGTCACATATATAAACAGCAGTGTTGTTCGATTGAGCTGATCGATCCACTTTTGAAGATGATGAAGTTGTTTTGTGTGAATCGGAATTATACAAGTTTGCATCGAATTGTCTCTTCGTCTCCAACAATAGGCCATGCCTGTTCGAATCTTCGTTACTGGACTTACCTAGAAAAAAAGATGATCGCACAAAAATGAGTAGAATCTTGAGGGTGTGAGTGAGAGTGGAAATGATAGTACCCGTGTTCACCACACCCACACCCACGCTCAAGCGCGAATAAATGAAGAACTTACTTATTTGTCTCCGGTCTATTTTTGGTCCATAATTATCTTCCTGATCTATATTTGAAGGCGATGCATGATCATAATCGTTGTCTCCATATTTTCTGATTCCCGAACTTGATGCATCGACGAATGATTTCTGTTTCCTAAAGGGATTCTCACTCTGATTTTTTGAAGGCGTATTTTCGCCACGTTCGATATTCGCATGCGTACTGGTCGCTCCTGATGTTGAAAAAGTAGAACTTCGTTTTTGATCCTATAAATATCAATTCATTTAGAGTTGGTTGCATCTCAAAAGTTTACGAAGAAACCAAGGGCTGTGAAACAGGAATTTCTTCTTAATACAACTACAGTTCCATGATTGCAGCCATAGAACTATAGCCGAATTTAGGAGAAATTCCTATTTCTCAGTTGTTGGAAATTGATGAACTAACTGATCTATCTTCATGATAAAATTGCTGTATATATGATCCTACCATCATTACATTATTATTACTGAGTACATTGTTTGAAAGTCTTCCTATGCCACATGTTGGGCAATTGACGTCCTTCTTTTTCTTGATTTCTGTTTCAGCACAATTTCGATGAAATGTATGATCACAGGTGGTTGTTATACAATCCATACTTCCACTATTCAATGAACATCTGCATATTGCACATTGTTTTATCATATATGACAACATCTTTTTATTCTATAAGTGAAGAAGTTTTTTAATACAGGTATATTTTTATTTTAATGAAAAACTAGAAGAAATGACATTATACTGGCTTAATCCTGTCTTTTATATAATGATACAATTAGTAAGAATTACAGTAGAAAAAATTCAAATCAAAATAATCATTCGTTACCGCACTATTAAGTTCAAATTGATGGATGTGAGTGTGGGGATGGATTTGGGTACTTTATTTCATCTGCGTCCACACCCAGCTTTTAATTGATTAACCCTTTCAAGCCCATGAATCAAATAAAGGATGAAACCTTATATTTAATATAGATAATGCGTACTGTCGGTATTTTCATCAAAATGTTTTTAAAAATCTTTATAGTCATTTGCGATCTATTCCCGTACAAAGATACAGAAATAGCCAAGAAGTATTTTGGTTATTACTCTGAGAGTACGGGTGTAAATCGAAATTTGATTGAGTACTATCAAAGTCACTTCTGACTTGGTTCTAGCACTAATAATTGATCTATTTTGAGGAGCCCTGAAAAATCATTGTTCGCTCTTTTGAGCATGTAGCAATACTGAAATATTTGATTCTAAGAGATTTGTGTGATTTGGTTTTAGGGTCATATTTTTGCTGCGATAAGCCTCGTCATACCCAAGAGTCATACGTATCGGTTTTGATCTAAAAGCTCATCAGACTCACTACGTGAATGACCTCATTAAGGTTATAATCTCTCCTGCGTTATAAAGAAAATCGGAAAGGGTGAAAGCCTAGCTTCATTCTTAGCAACAAACCTAGTTGAATATACTACTAAATACATACTAGAACTACAGAGAAAATTATTATTCGTGATACTATGAGTATAAATGTATACAATATTATTAAATCGAAAAGTTTAGAATACTGAAAATTAGGATCGAAGGATCTATTGAAAACTAACAAATATTAGGTGGTTGCAATTGAAAAGTAAAACAACAATGTCTCTTAAGTTACCTTTTTTCAGCGATGAAAAGTAAATGATACTGAATCTAGTTCTACCTACATATATTTACACTTGTTAAAAAGAGATAAAGAGAGATATCACGTCTCACATTCTCTTGTAAGAATGCGTTTTATAATAACAGTTGACGTAGACAAGTCTTGCTCTAACGAGAGAAAAAAGACAAGGTTTACGTCTTTCGCCGAACGAAGATTCACTTCAGGGTGTGGATATAGATATTCTTTTGCAACAACACCATCAAAGAAGCAATAATACACAAACATTATTTTTTTATAAAGCATTATTTAAAAGAAATATCGAGCTGTAAATAGCTTAGAATTCAACTCCATCGTCAGAATATGAATTTAAAATGATATTTGAAAACAGAAATAAAGAACTAAAACTGTCTTTTTTCTTCTCAGTAAAATTAGTCTAACGAATTCAAATATAGTTTATACTCATATGCAAATAAATAAAATAATTTCAGAAATTGAAAAAGAACTCTGTTCATATGAGCAAAGTATTCGACGCAGATACAATAAACTCAACATTTAAGCTTAATTAATATCATCTATGATATGAGTAATACTATTATCAGTATTTATTATACAAAGAAATTATTTCTTTTCGCTACGACATGAAAGAAATCGATTTTGTAAACTAATAGACGTAGATAGATATGTTATGTGCCTGTATAGTTCGAAACTTTTTATTATTGATTCTTAACGTTATTTTATCTATGACGTTCGAATAAATCTTTCGATATGTATTCTTCACTTTATTCGTCTATTGTGATAATACTATTTCATCATAAACACATGATGATATTCTCATCGATTGTAAAAATAAAAAAAGTGAAAATATTATCTTTCAGCAAAATAATAACAACACACATTTATAAACTATATTTTTTAAAATTTATAGGTCAATGGAAAATTATAAAATAGCAATTACAATTTTCTTATTATCATTTGGATGTTATTATTTATTAAAAACTAATAATGATCAGAGTATTATTATTACAATAAATTATTTAAAAATATTCTATACATTAATTATAAGTATCGTATTAGGGTTATTATTTAAATTATTTAATAAATATTATAATAATAATAATAATAATAAGATCGAATTGAAAACAAATATCGAAGATAAATATGTAAAACGTATAGAACGAATGATTAATAGATGGAGTGGTAATAAACAAGAAGTTAATCGAACAAATTCACCTAATGTAATCATACTTAATCGAAATTCTACTACTGAAAATAATTCATCATATTATAATGAACCGGCAAAATCGATTCCAATCTTTGAAGAATGTGATGTATTAGTTGTAGGTGGTGGACCATCTGGTATATCAGCTGCTTTAGCAGCTAAGCGAGCTGGTGCTGATACTATTCTTTTAGAAAAATTTGGTTGTTTTGGAGGAGTTATTACAACAGTTGGAATGGAAACGATAGGATGGTATAGATATGAAGGTACAATAGAATCACAAGGAGGTATTGGTATTGAAATGGAAAAAATTGCAGAAAAAATGGGTGGAACTATTAAATGGCCATATAATGATAGTCAATGTTTAGATGCTGATTATTTTAAAATTGTTGCCGATCATCTTATAACAGAAGCTGGTGTTCGACCTATTTTACATAGTGTAGCTGTTGAAGTTCTTCAAGAAAATAATCAAATTATTGGAGTTATTACAGAAAGTAAATCAGGTCGATTAGTAATACGAGCAAAACGAATTATTGATTGTACAGGAGATGCTGATATTGCACATTTAGCTGGTTGCAGTTATCATAAAACTCCTAAAGATGAAATGTTAGGAGTCAGTACTATATTTTCTTGTTCAAATGTTGATAAACAACGATTTCTTAAATATACTGAAGATAATCCAGCTACATATGCTGATTGGGGAGGTTTTTGGACACAAGAAACATCTGGCAAAGAAAATCAATTACGAACACCATATTTAGATAAAGAATTTCGAAAAGCAGTAGAACTTGGTATTATTCCAAAAACATCAAGTATTGGTGGATCATGGTCATCATTAAGTGATGCTGGTGAAGCTACTAATCTTAATTTAGTTTATATGACTAATTATGATTGTACAAATGTTCGAGATTTAACAAAAGCTGAAATGGAAGGAAGACAAGAAACATTAAATGCAATACTTGCATTAAAACATATTGTTCCTGGTTTTGAAAAAGTTAAATTAAGAAATTTTGGTATGACACTTGGTTGTCGAGATTCAAGAAAAATTATTGGACGTTATAATTTAACTGAATATGATGTTAAAAATCAAGCAAAATTTGATGATAGTATTGGAATATTTCCAGAATTTATTGATGGATATAATATTATTATTCTTCCAACAACAGGACGTTATTTTGAAGTACCATATGGTTGTTTATTACCATTAGAAATAGATAATTTATTAGTTGCTGGACGATGTGTTGCTGGTGATAAAATATCTCATGCAGCAATGAGAAATATGGCTGCTTGTACGGTTACAGGACAAGGTGCAGGTGTTGCTGCAGCAATATCAATAAAACATAATGTAACAACAAGTCAAGTTGATATTAATTTAGTTCAAGCGGAATTAATTCGACAAGGTGTTAGATTACATTGAAAAACAAAATTATCAATACGATTTATTTTATCTAGAAAATGTTTGTTATATGTTTAATAATATCAGTAAAATAAATTATTTATTCTAAAGTCTATATAAAAAGATTTCTCTAATAAATTCAAAAAAAAATAATACCTAAATTTTCATATATCACCCAAATATATATCAGACACTCTCGACATCTATATTAGGTAACAATGTTTTGCTACATTATTGGTTTCTTTTCCGTCACACATCAATCCATGTGTGTAAGAGTCACAGTTCATTGGGTATGGTTTCAAATAATTATATAGCGAGTATTATCTATTTAAAACGAAAGACGATTGATAATTTCATACATAATTTTATTGTTACATTTTAGTTCAAGCTGAATATGTCATTAAATATCAATTTTGATCATAATTGGAGTTATTATCATCAACCAATCATTGCTAATGATGATATAGCTAATTCAACTGTAACAGATATAGTGGATAATTTTAATTGGTCTCCAGTAGAATTGCCACATATATCTCGTACTAAAAGTGAAACGACGTTTACTAATAAATCTGAGAAATGGTGGTATCGAAAATATTTTCAATGCATATTATCAGATTCACAATTAGAACAATCTGTCAGTCTAACATTCAAATCACCCGATAATAATCATCGTATCTCACCAGCTATCTCTTCCGTCATTTGGCTTGATGCAGTTAATATATTCTCTGGTGTACTACAAACACCTCAAACATCGATAGATTTGCCAAAGACATTACTGTATTCATCTGATATGGAAAATCGTAATTACCAACATACATTGATAGTATGTAGTATGGATGCATGTCTTTCGTTTAGTGCTTCGCTGATACTACCGCATGATGCTATCATTAGTATTAAAGACATTCATGACAATGCAACTATAAGACGTACCAGCGATTTCAGTCAGAAACATGATAATATTTACAATTACGTTGCTTCTTTTGATGATGTCAACAAACATAATACCAATACTTCAGATTCAAAACGAGTATCATTACCAACATACGACAAACAAGAATCTTTTGATACTGTCACTGAGAAAATAATTAATGAAGAAAATAATCAAATTGCTGATGTGAATCGCACTAAGGTTCCTCTTCTTACTATTGTCATGTTAATTGTTGGCTCAAGGAGCGACATCGAACCTATTATTGCGTAACTAGTATTATATCATGAATCTGACAGTCGTTTAATGTACTATTTTTGTTTCAGTTATGGTAAAGCTCTTCGTGCCGTTGGTCATCGTGTCCGATTAGCTACCCATGAAAAATTTCGAAAGTTTGTTAGAGATAATGATCTTGAATATTTTCCTTTGGCTGGTGATCCAGATGAGATTATGTCATTTATGGTAAATAATTCTGGTATAGTTCCATCGATTAGTAGTATTTTAAAAGGCAATCTATTTCGAAGACGTCGTTTATTTTTCGATATTCTCAAATCAACATGGTTAGCTTGTACGAATAATGATGATGAGACTGATGCTTCATTTCAAGCTGAAGTAATCATTGCTAATCCAATCTCATATGGACATATACATTGTGCGCAAAAACTTGGTATTCCATTGCATATGGTATTTACTATGCCCTACTCACCGACAATTGCTTTTCCACATCCACTAGCCAATATTGATTATTCGACAGCATCGAATGAGCGAATAAATGTATTTTCCTATAGTTCAGTTGAAACATTGGTAAGTATATTTTTTCCCCATATATATATATTTAATTCCATAATCTTGAATAGATGTGGTTAGGTATTGGTGATCTTATTAATAAATTTCGTCGCACTATTCTTGATCTACCCTCATTAAATATATCTCAAGTTAGATCAATGATGGTTGATGAGAAAGTACCTTACACATATTGTTGGTCACCTTCACTGGTTCCTAAACCTTCAGATTGGCCATTTTATATTGATGTCTCAGGATATTTCTTTTTGAATCTTGGAAGAAATTACACAACACCACCCGATGATCTATTAGCATTTCTTGGTCTTCAATCTAATTTAAATAATCATATAGATGAAACATCACTACCAATCTTTATTGGTTTTGGTTTAATTATCGATCATGATTCACATCGTCTTCTTGACATTATACTTAAATCTTTGATGCAAACTGGTTATAGAGCATTACTTTCTGGTTTTGATATAGATTCTAATCAGTTACCTAAAAATATATTTAAAATTGACGATATTCCACACGATTGGCTCTTTCAATATGGTGAGTTAAATTTATAAAACTTTATTGTTTAACTAAGATTCATGAAATACTCCGAAAAGGTTATGAAATATAATCCTTCTCATTTTCATATTTTGCTGTATATGACTTATTTATTCTTTGATAATCTTGTGATAGTGTCAGCAGTATGTCATCATGGTGGAGCAGGTACAACAGCAGCTGCTCTTCGTGCTGGTAAACCATGTATCACTATTCCTTTTTTCGGTGATCAATTCTTTTGGGGCCATATTGTTGAGAAAAGTGGTGCTGGTCCTCCACCACTACCTGGAAAAGATATAACTGTCGAAAAATTAGTAGAAGCATTTGAATATGTTCATAAACCAACAACACAAATTGCCGCTAAACGTCTTCAAGAAGCTATATTGTTGGAAGATGGGTGTAAAGCAGCAGTACATTCCTTTCATGCTAATCTTCCTATATCACAAATGCAGAGTGATCTAGAATCAACCTATGCTGCTTGTTTTCGTTTGGATGAATTCAATCTACAAGTATCTTATCCAGTTGCTGAAGTACTTCTGTCAGCAGGTGTTGTTGATGAATCACAATTTCGTTATCATTCTACTCGAGAATGGAAACTGACCCATCACAACAATACAAGGTAGGACTGCTGTCGTTAATACTGATATATTATCTTTCTGTGAGTTAACAAATCATTGTCAACTGTTTTGAGCTATGAGGATTAATGGTACTTCATTCAGAGTTTTTCTCGTCTTATCTAATGTCACACAGTAATCATTTCTTTTAATTTGAAGCACATCGAACGTTCATGAGCGCCCATCTGTTGATGATTTTCATTTATCCACAGCGACTAGTAAATGTTCACCATGTTGTAATTCGAAGAATGATGCACAAGATGTTAATGGTAATCGTAAATCTTCAGGTAGCGTAGTAGGAAGTTTGATCGCTGATGTCAATAGTACAATGAAGCCCATCATAAATGTACTTCTTTCAATGACTGAACTAGATCAAAGTAAATGCAGAAATACGAAGAAAGATTTAAACAAAGCAATTACCTCAGACAAACGTAATAGTATTTCAAGGTCGTTATCAACTAACAATGAAGATCTGAAACTTTATAATTTTGATGAAATTTCAATACTTGCTCATGATGCAGCAAATATATCAGGTTTTACTCCAGAAGTGTGCCAAAATATTTTACTTCAATTTATGACACTCAAAAATCAACTGGTACAAACACCAAAATTTTCGCTTCCAAAGCACCATAGATCACAGCTTTATACCCTTGGACGAAGTCAGTCGTTTGATGATTTTTAAATTTTTCTGTTTAACTGTTAAACTTTTATATTATGTTGTTATATTCAAGATAAAACTCTCATCTAGATAAGATTCTTATGTTTCATTCGAATTCACTCACATACGAAAATCATCATTTATCAATAAATAAATTTAATTACATGTACAATAAAGTGGCAACATGAATTTCATAAATTCTCATGTTAAACATGGTTCTTAAAATATTTTAATCAGACAGTTGTTCTATAGAGGATAATATTTCAAAACGATTCGATTGACTTGAACCGTTTCCATCGATATTTAAGAAAGATTTGTTTAAAATAATGTCCTCGTCCATACGATTACGTTTTGATGATCGCTTCGATACTGATTTCAATGGATTATTAGTAGAATCTATATTTATATGTTGCGGTATTTTCAAGGGTACTTTGAAAACTTCCTCGTTCGATATTGAGTTAGTCGTGTGCCAGACAATAATCCGTCCCAAATCTTGTCGAGCAAATATACATCGAAATTTAATTGGTTTCGGCTCGTTCATCAAAGAATCGAAATTGTACCAAGTATTTTTATACTTTTTAATACACCATATATGTTCACTATTAAAAACTATTACTGCCATAATATTATCACATGAATCTTCGCTAAAGCTTGAAAATAATCAACAAGAACGAGTAATTATTGATATTCTTACCTGAAAGTAGGAGGATGATCTGGAGGATAATATGAACTTTGTATATGAAATTTTCTTAAAATAAAACTGATGATATTATCGTTGGAATCGATGAAGAAGAATTTTTGGCTTCCTTCACAATGCTTTTGCATGTCAAATTCATCACAATAGCCAATGAATCTAAACATAAAATATTATAGATGAATTAAAAATTATAAATGATTATACTTTTTCCAGGAGAGAGCGGATCTTCCGAGAGCATTGTTGATAGCATGCAATCTACATGTATTACTTGTGTTTTGCTTTTCAAAGAAAAGTAATTTGTTCTTTTTCACTTTCATGTTATTCTTATGATTTTTTGTACTCTCAGCCATTTTCTTGAAGATAGTTTCTTAAATCTAAAAATAAAATCAATTTATAACCTGATTACAGTGTAACTATGATGGTAATGTGGTTTGTAATTGCGAAAATCTATCATATGATTACTTGCAACTGCATCGTCGACTTTCGTAATTACATTGATATGATGTCATTAGGATGAAAATACCGTAATTAAGGATTAGGAATATTAATTTTGTTACATTATGAATCGATCATCATCGAATACAAAAGAACTTTTATATTACGAGAAAATGATAGAAAAAAAAAGTATATAAAAGTTTTACTTCTTCTATGCTTGTTATTCTTATTTGAATAGTTTTATAGAAGAAAAAAAAATGAATGAGTCATAGATATTGCGCAAATCTATGAAATAACTAGCACGTCATTTTCATACATCGATTGATAGAGTAGATAGACACATGCTGTATCCAACAGAGATTTTCTTAAATGCTAATCAAATTTTCGAACAATAAGGCTGATGTGTTAATTCTGTTTCTCTTGTTTGTCTCTTGTCTAAAGATTTCAAATAAACTAGTTCGATCTTAATTATATTTTTATATATAAAAAGAAGGTAACATATTTGCGTAAACGTTAGAATGATGTAGATAAGAAAAAAAAGAAATTTGACACATTGAAAACATTCAACCATTGATTTCACCTTTACATACGAAGCAATACGTTCAAATTATTTCTCAAAGGAGGAGTGATCATATTACGTTGGAAGAAACTTTTATTTAAAAAATTACAAATTGTTGAATTTTTCAGCGTATTTTCTTAGTTTTGTATTACTTCTAATCGTACTTTAACTAAAAATAAAATTAATATTAGATCAACAACAATTATACATAATTTAACTCTAGTAAGAAAAAACACGTTTTTGTTAAAAATTTTCTTTTGATGATAGAAATCATCAGTATGTCGGCAGATATTTTTCACAGTAGATAAAAAAAACTATAAAAATAAGATTCAAATTGATTTATTTTAATTAACATATATCCAGTCTCTGAATCAATTGCTGAACACAAATCATGTTTATTACATAAAAACTATCAATAGTATTCTTTTTAATGGTTGAGTTATCTACATTCGATAGTTTATCTTTTCTAATAAAAAATAAATGAAATTCTATTATAAAGAGTAGTGCATCTTCATACATTTAACAAAACAAGTCAGTTAAAAGAGAATTTATTTAGACATTCTATTTCAGCCGTGTGTTATAACTATTATTCTTTTTCTTTCTATACTTCTTCGACATTTATTCTTTCTTTCTCTTCTATTTATATGTTATATATACATTTGTTAAAGATACGAACTGATGAATATATATTACCTCGAGAACGAGGACAAATCATAAGAAAGAATACACATATTTTTATGAAAATAAGCAGCTGACTTTAACTTAGGATTTAATCTTCATTCGAAATATATAATATTTTTTTTATAAAGTATCGTAGGCAAACAAAACACATATGTCGATACTTGTCCCCTACGGCATTAAAAAGGTGAAATAATATACATCGCAAACACAACTCTCATTGCATAAGCTGAAGAAATAAAAATATTTACCACTTATTTAAGACAATTTATTGTATTGAAAAGACATCATCTTTATTCATTTCTTTTTTTTTCTTGATTTTCAATAGATATGATTATGTGGAAACGATTTTTTGTTTTGATACTACCAATTCTTGTTTATTCAAATGAAATTCACTATAAACAAGTAAGTCGAAATCAACGTTTTCTTTTTGTCATCAAATTTGTTTTTTTAGTACCATCAACAATCAAATAATGGTTCTCGACAGCATCCACCATCACCATTTGATAAATCTTATCAGATGATTGTTCTTACTGGTGGAAAAGTCTATGGTATTTCGGATTCAACTCGAGAACATGTTAACAAACCACAAAACATGGATATCGTTATTGCAGCAGAAAAAATATTCGCTTTGATAAATCCATCGAAAACAGCTTCGTTTGTTAACTCTATGAAAGATCAAGGCTTAACAGTTTTATCAATCTCTGTTGAAAATCAGGTGGTTATGCCCGGGTTGATTGATACTCATGTTCATGCTATTGGAGGTGGAGGTGAACAAGGTAGATTTAAATCCTATCTACAGCAACATATATCATGTGTTTAATTCTTTTATTGTAGGTCCTTATTCACGAACGGCTGAAAGTCGTTTATCTCGATTAATTGATGGCGGACTTACATCGGTAGTTGGTTTACTTGGAACTGATGGATTAACTAGAAGGTTAGTCACATTTTCTCTGTCTTCTTTAAAACCTTTTTGAAGCTGTGCGTATTTATCTGATGTGTATTTATGTATTCTTTCTTGTTTTAGTCTTTCAGCTTTGTTACAAAAAATGAAAGTAAGTCATTTCAATTTAATATTAATTTTAAGTTATTCGATATATTTAATTTTAGGGTTTAGAGCATGATGGTTTGTCCACTTGGATGTGGGTGGGTAGTTATCGAATTCCAATTGTTACTTTAACTAGCTCATTACAACAAGATCTAGTCTTTATTGATAAAGTTTTGGGTGCAGGTGAACTTGCATTGAGTGATCATCGTTCGAGTTGGCCATCGAAATCTGAACTCATTCAACTAATTAGTGATGTACGAGTTGGTGGAATGCTCAGTGGAAAACCAGGTATTATTCATTTTCATATGGGTTCAAGTCCAGAAAAACTTGATTTACTTTGGCAAATTTTGAACGAAACAACAATTCCTATTCGTCACATATATCCAACTCATATTTCATCGAGAGGAGATGCATTACTTGATGAAGCTGAAAAATGGATCAAAGCTGGTGGTGTATGTGATTTTACAGCTGATATTCCAGATTTGAATGAAACAGATACGATGAATGCATTAAATAAATTCAGAAACAAAAATCTACCATTGAAACAAATTACTGTATCAAGTGATGCTTACGGGTATGAATTCTCTCAAGCTTTGAAATCTTTTTTTAATATAGTAAAGAAAATAAATTGATAATTTTCATTATAGATCCATTCCTGAATATGATGCATCTGGTCAATTGATTTCGTATGATATGGCACCACCTGATTTAGCATTGAAAACAATTCAAGCGCTAGTTTTGAAATATGCCTGGCCTTTGGAAGAAGCTATACAATTTTCGACAGTGAATCCAGCCGTATATCTTAATTTGGATCGAAAAGGTTTTCTGATTGAAAACTACGATGCTGATATTCTTGTTCTCAATCAAACCGATTTAAAACCATTGTATGTCTTCGGTAAAGGACAAATCTTAAAAACACCTACATGGACTAAACATGATATGTTTGAACCCATGGATTAATCATACTTAAAAGTACTTTTTTAAAATGTGAATATCGATGAAAACGAATCTAAGAAAATTCACAAGTTTTATTATATTTGTCTTAGATAATAATAAATTCATTTTTTCTAAGCAATTAAACATGAGATCTTCCTCAGAGGCAAAGATTAGTATACTGTCTATTCATTTATTGTGTCGTGTCACTCGAAAGTGCTTTCCAATATAGAGCAAAGTCACGTTGTTGTTATTGTTTAAAATGTTACATTCTATGATGATTTATAAGAAAAAAATACGCACAAATACAAAAAAAATCATAAAAAGTCTGCATCAAAATTAAACTACCAAATATAAGGAAATAAAATGTTTGGAACATTGTGTTCATATTTTTTCCATTCATCACCATATCTTTCACTACAATAGTTTGCTATATCTGGTACACCTTGCTTTGTAAAGTACCATAGATGCCATGAAAGTTGAAGAGCAGCTAACCAATAATTTCCACTTGTTAATGCTAATCCAGTACGCCATAATGTATATCCTCCATAATTAATATGACGTGCAAGAGAAAAAAGACCACCAGTATAAAGTTTTCCTTTATTTGCTGGATTATCCTTGAATCGTTTACGTTGAAGTTCAGATATTAATTCAGTAAAAATACCAACAGTAAATAATGAAATACCAATATATTGTAGACTACCCAATTCATCTGAAGGACCATAAATAATCGATGATAATGAAGAGAAAGAATTGCTTATTGTATTGTAAAGACATATTCCTACTACAGCTGAATTAATCATTCTAGTTTCTAAAATATAAGTCATATTGATAATTTGTTTAACAGCACAACCTGCAGCCATTGCAACTAATACTGCGCCTTTGGGTCCAGCAGGAACTGTGGTAATACCAGCTTTGGACAATATTTGATGACCAAAACCATTAAAAATTAAAATAGATTGAAGATAAGGATCAATAGCACGAAGAATTGTAAAAACAAGACGAGGAAAAGGACTAGAATCTTTGTTCGAACGATCAAAATATTCTTGTGCTGCTTTTGAATGATTTGGCATGATAGATAACAGTGAACAAGGTGATTTTTAATATGATATAATTATGATATTATAATTAATATTGTGTTCTAATAGCAATAATGTTGATACTATATAACTTATTGTCTTCGTATCAGAATACTGAAAAGAAAAGAAAATATTATTTACTATTGTATATCAACATACATAAAACGCAAGAAAAAAGAATAGATAGAAGCAGGATTGGTTCTCACTGAATTTACGAGATCATCGATACGTTCATGAAAACAATAGCTGGCGCTAGATGCAAACGCGAAGTTTTTTTACATAATTTAACAGATCGAAAATTTTGTTTTTGCAAAATGCAATCTACTGGTATTTACTCGTTCACTTAATATCTTCTCGTCAGTAGATTTTGATACATTTGAATTAGAATTCCATTGAAACTATAGCTTTCTAGTGTTGCAATGCAATTAAGTGAATAACAAAGTCTTTTACAAGCAGTATTTCATATATTACATACATGCAAAACTGTAAGTTAAATAAATAAAAGTGATTTCTTTTTCTTTTTCATTATTCATGCCATAGTTTAGAGAACAAATAAAATACTTTTACTATGAATGAGAGTTTTTTTTTCAAATGTTAAACAATCAATTGTAGAGAGAGGCAAAATAATATTTTGGATTTTCTTCAACGTGAACAATCGAATATTAACATGAAAAATATGCAAAAAACGATCGATCGAGTTTAAAAGAGAATTAGATACTCATTTATGTGTCACATCTGGAAACTGTAGAGAATATTCTTTTGATACTTTGATTAGAATTAAATATTTTTGTAAATGAATTACTACAAAATTGTTTGTTGTAGATTATGATAAATAAACTATAAAGTATTGAAAGCGCATGACATGATCTATTGAAAAAAAATAATAAGTTAGTAATAACAATAATAATAAATTGCTAAAAAACTACTTCATTATTACTTAAAATACAATCATGATAATGCATTTATTTAGTAGCAATAAACGAAAGAAATGAGCATCACGAATTAATATTGACAATGATAGATGGACATTTGTTGTTATACTTTGTATAATGAAACTAGCAATTATTTGATAAATTTCAGCTGGATTATTTATTATGTAATAGATATAAAACAGAAAAATTTTATAAATTTGTTTCGATTTTTTTCATTACACAATTTCGATTTTTTTCATCATATTTATCATAGTCATTATTACACAGGTTGAATAGTCCAGCACAGAAATGGCTGGTTTCGTGATACTCTAGAGATTTCATGGAAGCAGTATTTCGGTGAATGGATCCGGTGATCAGATTTCTCCGGTTCTATTCGGAACTCACCGGAACCTATCAAAATTGGCAGCCAAATATGGCCGTCAGATCCTTGCACCGAATTTCTAGCTTTTTCCGACGAGTTCCGACCCAAAACTGTGAGTTTCATGGCGGTTTTTGCTGGAAATTCGCGAAATATTGCGTCAAGAATCATCTTCTTGAGTATATTCATAATTATTTCGGTCATCATTATTGAATTGTTTGTCTATATTTTTATATATATGATAAATAACTATATCTTTGAAGAATTTTAATCGTTTTAAATCATATAATGATTTATTTTTACAATCATCGCATAAAAAGTTCCAGTCATTGTTTTCTTTTTTCTTTAGTGTTTCATCTATTTCGTCATACATTTCGTTCAATAAATCTTTTAGTTTTATATTCTAGAAAAAAAATTCTTTAGAAAACAAAAAAAAATTTCTAATTTAAACTTACATCATGTTTAGCAAAATACACTTGTTTCACAAATTTAACAATAAATTGTTTGTCATTTGTTTTCTTTCATATTCCAGGTTCAACAATCCAACACGGAAATGGCCGGTTCCGTGGTACTCCAGAAATTCCATGGAAGTAATATTCCCGTTGAATGGATCCATTGGGTTCCACTCAGAACTAATTTCAGGATCGAATTCTTGAGGGTTTTCTCTGGAAAGTCATGAAATACTGCTTCAGGAATCATCGGCCTGGGATAAAACAAAAAGTTAAATGTTAAGAAAGCTGCAAAAAAATTGGGAAAAACATAAAAATAAAAAATTTTGTCTTATTTTTACATGCTCATTCATCTACACTATAAATTTTTTTAAAATTCTACTTTTTGGAAAATCGATCTTAAATAAGCTCAAGCATTTTAAAAGTTTATGATTTATTCATCGAATTCCTATAAATACGACATGTCATCTTTTCTTGAAGGATGGATCTGGTTGTGGATGTGGATATTGTATTAGCATACGTCCACACCCACACCCTCAAGTACTCAAATATTAACTGAGAAATAATAAAATGAATTGGTACCGATAACAATGATATTTCGAGTACAAACACTAATTTTCGAATATTGATTTTTAGCTGAAAATGATGTTATTTGAATTATCTAAATATGTACTTAATAAACATTAGTATATCTTAAACTATTAGCAAATGAAAGGGAAGATTTATTAGTAAACTGATTATGTTCTAAATAATATTTTGTATTAAATATAATACCTGCCAATACCCATGTCTCCAAAATCGTGATTATTAAACCGTTGATTTTCGCCTGATTTTGATAGCATGGGTACTTTATTTTAATTGAATTTGTCTAATCATAATAAGAAAGGTGTAAATGACTTGTATTTAGATTCAAACCCATGTTTTGACATCGTTCACTGTTCGCATGCCATCTGCTTCTTTATTTTTCTGTGTAGTTTTTTTATGTTGTACCTAACTATTTTGCGTATATCTGATGGTTTTATTTTCCTATCATGTTTCACATAGCGGCGGAGCCAGGATTTCATGCTAGGTGGGGCTTAGCCCATCGGCTTTCCTGAGTTCGATCTGCAGTAGAGCTAATATTTTTTTGTTACCTCAGAGATAATGTAAGTGTTTGAAAAAAGTAAAGTAGCTTTAGTTAATAATACTTCAGATAAAAAAGTAAATAGAAAAACTTAGACGATACGGAGTTTCACTTGACAGTGGTAATCTAATCAGGGGCGGTGTCAGTACTGCTGGAATTGACGACTACGAATTTGATAGTTCGTTAGGTATCTCCACAATTGAGAATATATCAGAGGTTCATTGCCCGAAGCACCAATACCGTTCGGAATTGATCTAGCCCCAATATTTTACAGGGAACAGCTAACGTGAAAGAAGGATATCAATTGTATTTTTCTCTATTTGAGTTTGAAATAGAGGTGACAGTATGTTCAACGGAACAAGAGTCACAGTAACATCATCTATAAATTAAGAGGGAGATGGAGATGAAGCTGAAAATGTCGCGTGACGAATAGTTGAGTCAGAAACAGGTGTATTAATAAATAGTTTAATATTTTTTAATGTATCCATGTAAATCTTGGGCTTGTGAATCCAACGGTAACAAGACCAAATTCGTAGGCTTTTAGTTTACTTTTCTAAAAGAAGAACTTATACTTGTCAGAGGGAGATTCATTTAACTGATGAATATTAAATTTTAATCTTTATTTCAGATGGGATCTATTTATAACTGAATGAAATAGAAAAAAAACAGTGATACCTTAAAATAAAACAGACGAAAAGAAAAAATTACTAAACTATAACAAGGGAAGAAAAACGTGTGGAAAATGCCTTAAAATGAAGGAAAGAAAGGAGATATATGTTTATTCAACGTGTTATTTATGTACCTTAGCAGAACAGAAGAAAGAGAGAGAACAGGAACATACCAAATATACAAGAGTCGTACTTAACAATACTTTTAATCCTTTTTGGTTCGTGCATGCTACTACCAGCGCTATTATTTGGCACGAGAGATCGTAGACTAAATTCGTTTTTACAGCTCTAAGTAACAAGCAATCGTTGTACTAGTGACACTAATACACTAAGAAGATATAGTGATCCAAATTGAAAAATAGAAAATCTTGCGTTAGATTATCTATGCAACCATTAAATATAGCTAGATATAATTTTTTATATAGTAGAAAAGGGAAAAAAAACTTTCATCTTTTATAATATAATTAAATAGGAAAGTACCGTTGAAAGTTCTATTTCAGAAAAACTTTTCAAAAATTTCCTAGCTAGGGCTCAAACCTTTCTAGGTGGGGCTTAGCCCACCTAGCCCCACTGGTGGCTCCGCCACTAGTTTCACATCTGTATATATGATCCCTTTCTATTACACATAATCCGTTATTTCTATAATATAAAAGCAGATTGAATATGAAAGCGTATAGAAGTATTCATGAATTTTATAAATTCTATTTATACAGTTTACTGTTTGAAGTTTAGTTTTACAGTGCACATTTATAGCCTAGGCATCCATAGTAGAAAAGATAGATATCATATTCATCGCATTTCTATTGTACTGTCAATTCATATTATTTTTATAATCCAGATCTTCTACAGATCACAACCGACAGATTCAACGAGTCCTGTGCAATATCCATAGCTTGATCGTATTTCATATTTTAATTCCGCAGAAATTGCACTAAAAGCTTCTTTTTTAAGAAGAAGAAACGAATGATATTTTTCAGCCTTTATTATGTCAAAAAAAACGTCTAGTGATGTTTTTTATTTTACAACAAGGAAATAATATTAAGATTTATTACAAACTCATGGAAAAATAAACTATATATGAGTTTTGAATTAACATATAAGAATATTAGTTTCCTTTTTTTACTTTGTGTGATCTGTCTGAAAGTGCGTTTCTGTTTCTGATTGTAACTTCTACTTCATTTATTCATTGATCTTAACATATCAAGAGCAGAATACGTTGTTTTAGATAAATGAAAATAATATAGAATGATCAAAAACATATTTGTGTCACTACCAGCAGTACTGTTAAATCTAGATTAAATGAGTATTTCTTCTATATGTAGCTTTTTCTCAATAAATCCTCCTAGAACTTATTATGATTAGTAAATGTCGGTCATAACTGATTTGCTGCTTTAAATAAAGGCTTATGAAACAAATGTCAAATGAAAATGAACTTTTGATATTCTGTTTTTTCCATAAGGAGAGTTCATTGAACTATGTCATATGAACTGTCTTGAGGATGTGAATATTATCTTTATCGCACATTCATATCCTTATTCATCCTCAAGATAGTGAAGATTTTTTTGCTCCTTGTTATAAAGAACTATCATTTAATAATTCTTATCCTTTAATGTTTGCAACTTCCATAACTCAAGTCATAGATGTATTTTTTCTATTTTTTTGTCCTAAAATTCAAGTTAGAAAAGAAGCAGATTGTGATTTCAAATTTGATATTTTATTATGTTGTATGTATTCATTTTTCATTTTTTAATTAAATAACTGAGACTTAAATTTCTAATTATACGGGATCTTGCATTTCTACAAGAATAGAATATACATATATAAATTCTCATTGAATTTTTTTTTTGCTATTGTAGAAAACAATTTTGAGGATGTGAATTAAAAGTAGATGAATACCCACACCTTCATCTTCTACGATATGAGAGACAACTTACTAACGCTCTTTTCTTTTCCTCTCCTGCTTTATCATAGATTGTAATAGATATAGATTCAAACCTATAATTTATCTTCTATGCTTATAAACTAGTATAAGAAGAACTCACAAGAGTATAGACGAACAAACGAAAAGCATAGGTAATATTGATTTTAATCTGGTTATGATTAGTAAACTTTGAAGACTGGAAAATATAAAAAAGTATCTAAGATATACTTTTGTTGAAAATATTTCCTGTTAATAATAATAATAATAACTATCTCATGTTTCAGATTTTAATTTCACAGAGAAACATAGTGAGAATCTCCGTTGTGTTATTCCCGTTATCATATTTAGACTGAGATCAAAAGTATATACGGAAGATTAAATCATTCACTTGTTAACATGTCATCTATTGATCAAACCATTCAACAAATAAACACAGCAACAACAATCATCATTTCCATTATGTATTTTGTCAATTTCATATTTGGTGTGATTGGTCTTACTTTCAATGTCTTTGTTTTTACTCGCCCATCTTTACGTGAAACACCATGTTCAATCTATTTTTTAGCATCAACATTCTTTAATTTCTTTGTTATATTAGCTATAATTCCTTTACGTTTAGTTTTAAACAATTTCAATATAGATTTGGCTACTTACAATGCTCAATATTGCAAAATACAATATTTTGCTTTTTATTTCACACGTGCATTATCATGTTGGTTTATTGCCATGGCATGCATTGATAGATATTTACATAGTTCACACGATATATTTTTACGTCGCATGAGCTCATTAAAAGTTGCAAAACTATCAGTTGCAATAGTTAGCATTGTAGTTCCTATTTTATATTGTCATATGATTATTTTTTATAATCTAATACAAGTAAAAAAATCATCTGGAATTATAGCATATTCTTGTATTATTCAAGATACTACTTATTCTACATTCATTACAATATGGCATTTATTTTTATATTCATTTTGCCCATCAGTTTTAATGCTTATTTTTGGTTGTCTCACATTGAGAAGTATTCGTATGCATCGTCAAATTATTCCACAAAATATGAACAACAATCGAATTTCTCGACGAACAAGCATTGAGCTCCTACGTATGTTATCAGCTCAAGTACTTGTAATTATTATTAGTACTTCAGCAAGTTCTATCTACCAACTTTATGCATTATTCACCAGTAATGTGACTAAGGATACACTTCGAATTAGTCAAGAAAATGCAGCTGGTAAAATATTAGCTGTACTATCATATTTTGCTCATTCAACTAGCTTTTATATGTTTACATTAACTGGTAGTATTTTTAGAAAAGAAGTTTTCAAAATTATCGGACAATGTTCACTTTATAAGCGAAATCGTGTGCATATAACTGGTGTTCAAACACATCAAATGTCATCATTACAATATAATCAACAAACTAATACCATATTAAAAAATAGTGTAGGACAACAACGTCACTCATGAAGCCAATAATAGACAATCGAAATAAATCGACGATTGAAAAACATTTGTTCTGTATTGACTTTTAAGACATATTGATGTAGTATTTATTCATATTTGTGTATTAAATGAGAAGTAAATAAATTCAACATTTCCAAATACAATAGAAATCCGACAGAGCATAGCATAGTATAACAATGTGACAACTTGCAGCAGACGTATCTGATCACAATTTCCTGTGGAAAAATATTGAATATTATCATTTCAAATCTCATAGTATTTAGCAATAACATTAGTGTCATGCACCGATCAGATCCTGCAGGATAATATCATGAGAACACGAAGTTGAGCCTATATATGACTGATAAACTAAAATAGACGATGGGGTGGAGGATGTGGACATCAGAAAATACTAACAATTTACTTGTTTACATCTGTCCAAACAGAAGGCAAGACAGAATATGCGAATGTAAATCATTCTAATAAGTAGAAAAAAGAATGATCTATATAAACTGTCAATAGATACGACACACGTAAAATATCTTAGTATTATTGAGTACGGTCCATGTAATCTTCCCGATATCGGTTTTTCGGTTATATAGTATGCATCCAATATGATCTTCGTGCGTGACAATCTGACCAAGATCTGTTAGTTTAAAATGCTTTTTAGAAAGTCAATAAATTAAAAATTAATTTTTTATCTCTGATTTCAATGAATTTCATATTAACTCCTTAACGGTGGGTGTGGTTAGTTGGATAGACGTGCTGGTTGGATGTCACATTCACACACACACACCCGTTCTTTTCGATGGATGAGTAAACAAGTGTATGCTCTATATGGAAATGATGCAATTCTCAATAAGAACAGATATAATATGTATGTTTTATTGTGTACTCAATATCGTAACACTATAATATTTTTAACATCTCTTATATATTATTCCATCAGAGAAGAATTTATTCGATACAAAAACAGATACAAATAAAGGAGGAGTAAAGTTAAATTCTTATAAGGATAAACATTAGAATATAAAACTGGAGGAACCGTGATATTTTATATCATAGTTTGAGTAAACGAAATTGTAGTTAGTGTATAATACAGTACATACACTGCCGATGTTAGTCGAACTTATTTTCTGAGAGTTTTGTTTGAAAGTAATATTTTAAAAATTTTTTTAGATTTTATAAAATTGATCTACTACGTACACCATGATGTAGAGTAAATAAAGCAAGGTATTTCGCAAGAATGTTTATTTGTCAGTAAGACGTATTTAATGTGGTTTCTCTTTTTTCACGTGATGCATACCTTATGAAAATAAATTTTTTAACAAAGCGTAGGCACAGAAGCATTTGAGAACAAAATGTTTGTTGTTTCATCATAAGTGGTTCGTTAAGCGTTTCGCTTGTATTTCATAATGAAAATTGTTTAAAATATTGACGTCATTACATTAATGTATAGGCAACATTTCGTCATTGTTGACAGAACGTTTCCATCCAATTACGAAATAGAAAGAATTTCGTTAGGTTTAAATTTTTATATAAATAACGAATAGCAAGAGTGTTAAATTCATCTTATTTTCTACGATTGTCATACAAGCTCAATTTCATAGACATCAATCAACAATTATACTCATACGATGGATAAAGATATTCAAAATCAATCAGTAAGTCAGATTATTTGAATTGTTCATAGATAATACTGTCTTTTTTGTTTAAGAATCAGTCACCATCTGTCACAAATAATAATACACAAGCAGTAAAAACAGTAACACTACCAGAAAATACCTCAAATATTCCAGTAGAATATGCAAAGTTTGTATCGATAGATTAAATATTATAAAATAATTTAATATGCTATTTCTAACGTAGGAATTTTCGTCCATTGATTAAAATTCTTTTGGTTCTACTATGTTTAATTATCATTGCTACGGCAATTATTGTTCCAAATATTCTTTTAACTAGCAAGTCAGCTGAAGAATCGAATATTTCTACCAATACAACGACTATATCAACTACTGTAACAGCAAGTAAATTTTTCATTATATCAAAATATTTTACTAGAAATAGAGAATATTTTTAGCAACAGTAATCTGTGCTTCTGGATATGTTCAAACACCTTCAGGAGCATGTGTTAATACACAAATTGATTTAAATAATTGTGGAACAGTTGGCTATGTTTGTTCATCTAATTATACAAGTTGTTCATCAGGCATATGTAGTGCTAGACCAGCTGTACAACTTAGTGGTGCAATTGCTGTATCTGCCTGGATTAATCAAACTATCGATGATGCAACAGCACAAATCTCTCTTCCAGTCAGTATTACACTCTACAATTATACTACCACTAATGTTACCATAACAAGTAATGGAGTAAGTCATTGGTTTTTTTTCAAATTTAATTAGAGATAAAATGTTGAGTTCTTTGTGTCTATAAAGATTGTATTTAGAATAGTTGAATATATTTCTGTAAAGTAAATAACTTGTACTTTTAGGTTCTCTGTATGGGTAGCTGTAGTTCGAGTTATTCCAATGGTATTCTTCCAACTTCACCCTTTGGAGGTCCAACATTATTTGGTTTTTGGGATGATTTGAAGATTTATTCTGGAACTGGTCAAACAGTTTATTATGCTACCAGTGGAACAACACCTAATCGAATAACAACTTTTGAATTTTATGAAAGTTTTTATTCTTCATCACTACAATATTGTCATTTTCAAATCATTTTTGATGAAAATCAACCAAATATTGTTAAATACATTTATTTCGACGTAGCCAGTGGAGGTTCTTCAGCTACCATAGGTGTACAAAGTAAGTTTTTAGTCTTTATCTGTTATTTTTCTCTAATTAATAAATCATTCATCTTCATTTTTCAAATTCTAGAATCATCATTCGGGCCAAGTATAACTTATTCCGTAAATCAAGCAAATGCAGTAGCATATAATACAACACTTATATTCGATACAAATACTAATACCTTCTCGGGTTAGAAAGACACATGATCGTACTACTACATAACGAAAAACAATAATCATACAAAACTTATATTCATATAATTAGTTTCATTTTCCTTTTTCATTATTTTAAAATATAAAATTTTTATTATGAATAAACAGCAAATTTTAGAAATTATCCAAATAGTTATATGTTGATAGACTTCTGCATCTATAGATTCTTGTGTATTTACTTTTAAAAATGCACCACAATGCTGTTACTATCCACACATCAAATAAAGTGGCTTGGCAACTATTATAAAAACATAACAAAAAAATTCGACTACAAAATTTTCAACTGCAAAAGAATCAATTCTTAATGGCTGATAGTTAGTTTCATAGTTACTTGCCATTCAAGTTTTTCTCAAAACCAAACAAAAAAGATACAATTTAAAAACTTGAAAAAAGTGCAATAAGAATATTTTTAAATTCATTCTATCGAAAAAACGAATAAATACACAAGACAATTGTTTCTAATATATGTCAGTTAGCTAACATTAACAGATCTTTACAGTTAGTAGTTATCAGTAATTTACAAAATAAGTACATCTTGAGGGTGTGGGTGTGAGTGTCTCTTAGCTTACAACCACACCCACATTCTATTTTATTCACACTCACATCCATCCACCACTTTATATACATGTCAACTTGGAATGTCGTTTTTTCTGGCACACAAAAGATTATTCTTGATAAAATTTTTAAGTTATTATTTTATAAATTGAATCGAATTTGATATGTAAAAAAAGCAATTAATTAGAAGATATATATTTCTATCACATTATTTTAACTATTACATTAAAAATTGTTAATTGAAGAACTGTTATTTTTCAGAAAAATATTCTTTAGTCTAATCGAAATCAATCAATATTCTTTGCTTAAAAAAATGGATGAACATGTACCCCAATCATTCATATAAAACTCGAAAATAGAATCGATTTGTAGCAATTAACAATCAAGATAAATATCAGACTATATCAATAGATTTTACGATATACACATAAGTAATAGAACGTTCATCATGGCACATGAAAGCGCGACATCTTCAAAAGTGAGAAAAGGTTAGTCAACTTCTTGTTTAATTCTGTCAAATATTGACAAACCTCTATTACTAATCGTGTTTTTCTTTCTCAGATGACGTCAACTATAAAATTTCAGTTTTTCTGAGGATCTACTAATCGATAAAAAAATGTGTAATAAGTTATTTTAGATGAATTCAATATGAAATACAAAGATTCATTCTATATATATTTAAATTTTATTTGAATGCTTAGTACATAACAAACACAAGATGTCACAAAAACAAACTCAATTTATGATACTTCCAAACGAAATTATATGCAATATATTCGATTTCTTAAAAACTTCTGATATTCTTCGAGCGTTTGCTCAACTTAATTATCGATATGATGATCTTATTCGATTTCATATAAAACGAATTGATCTTACTGATGATTGGGAAGGTGATCTACAAGACTTTAAATGGATCTGTTGCTCGATTCAAACACTCAAAGTTAATCAATACTACGTTCACTGGTTACATGATCTAGATCATAAGAAAAATTTATCTCAACGCCACCAAAAATCGTCATTTTAGACTATTATTAAAAACCTTTTCACTTGCTCCCAAAAAATGACAAGGTCATCTCGATATTGTCTACAACGCACCATTCTTGATGTTAATTATCAATTTTCTCAGCTTCATTCACTTCATCTTGTCAATATATCTAATTGGACCAAAGTGATATCTAACATGAATTTGAAAAGTCTTAGTCTTTGCTTTGATGATGTTGATCATGGTCGCGACTGCGAGGTAGGATTTATACCTCAAACAGTGATTCGATTCTCCACAAATATTGTGATTCAGGCAAACAAATTTCATATGGATTTGATTGATCTGGATGTATGCATTCACTCAATGAGTCATTTGCTTGAAATCGTCAAACGAACACCTAATCTTCAACGTCTATCAGTTACTTTTGATGATTACTTTTACGAGTATAACGACACTATAGAACATTATATGTATAATTATTTCGATATGATGAGAACCGACTTTCGTCCATTAATCAATTTAAACCATCTGTCTTTTAGTACGACACAAACTAGCTATATAAAAACTAACGAATTTTTGCCATTTGATCAAATTCAATTATTCATTGATCAATGTTTTCTAAAGACATGTAATCTTAGAAAAGTCGTTCTGAAATTTGAGTATAGTATATTTAATGAGAATCTATGGTCAACAATCGTACGATATAAAAATACATTTGATCGTTTCAATTTCTATGCTTCATTTATAGTAGACGATAAAGCTTCAATAATTAGAATAATTCCGTCGAATAATGATCATTTTGACTATCATATTGAAGACATTGATCTTGTACATCCAGAAGCTCGCTTTGTACATATTTATTCATTACCATTTGCTTTCGATAAACTTCATGGGTTTATTTCATGTTCAAAACTCAGTTCTCGATCCTCATTTTTAAGTGTTCGTCATCTTTATTTTACAAGAACTCTTCTCGCTCGTCCCATTTCATTTGAATTGTTAGCAAGACGTATGCCAAATCTCGTTTCCATTGATTGTAATTTTTCATTCGCTCATGACTGTAATAACAAAATTTCACTATTCATTTTTGATCAAGACATTTTCAGTCATGTCCGCTTTTTTCGCTTCGTATCGCATTGCTGGTCTAAAGATTGTATCTGTTTTACTCTACTTCCTCGATTACTCGGTCGAATGCCACGCTTACGATATCTTATTACTTCTAAAGACGCTTTGGAAAATGCGTGGCATCCGTTACCACCTATTGAACGGTTCAATTTCCAACAATGCGATTTCACATCATTTCATAGGTTATCAGAACATGCTCCACATTTATCAACGCTTTTCTTCTATTACACGATATTCTCTGTAAGCGAGTTATCAAATATCCTCAGTTCTCTTTACATGAGAATTCCATCGCTCAAACTTATTTCAATCAAGACTGACCGAACAAACTATTCGGATGGATTGTCATATGAAAACATAGCTGAGCAAGTTTTAGTTCGCGTGCAAAGCATGGATAATCGCCTTCGTCACCTGACACTTAACTGCGAATATGGAGTAGTGAAATTTTTTCTTCAAAATATGTAAAAAATTATATATTCTTTCAATGTAATTTAATAGAAAATCAAGTGTAACTTTTCATTTTTATTTCGTTCTTCTAATTTGACCGAATACCCATTGTTGATAACATGAGATCATAATACAAATGACTTTATAATAAATCTAAAATGCATTTTGTTATGATTTGGAGTACTTATTTCAATATTGAGATATAACAATAGAAGTATATGTTGAAATAAAGAGACAAACTAATTTAGACAAAGAATTTGGAAGAGTTTATTTGAACCCTGCCAACACTTATATTCTTCTTTTTGTATTTCAATGTATTTTACTTTGCATAATGATATTCCTATCATTCAATAAAAATTATATTTTAGATAAATAAGGAATCGGGTAGTTGAAGGGTTGGATGTGTGTGATGTGAGTGGACAATATTTCAATCCGTAATCACTCCCTCTTTGTGTCTATCAAAATGTAAAAGTAGATAAGTACCTGAAATGAGACTCTCGTATTTTCTTTGTCACTCGATAAGAGATTTTCACTTCTTTAAAAACGATATGGTTTGATATCTAATTTAATTTTTTAATAGAACGGTACATAATCAAAAAGAAGTTTTAGTACAACGTATTTTTTACTGGTCGTTTTGCGACTTAGTAGTTTAAAAGAAACATAAAAGCACCTAACACTTTGAAAAACGTCTATCGGATGGTATATTTAATGTTAAACTTCAACTATATTTTCGATTCAAAATGTTCTATCAATTGTAATGTTGATATAATTCAAAATGAAAAAAGAAGTTATAATTTGGGTATGGTTTAAAATTAGATAGATACTCGCATCCACACCCTCCAGATGGTATTAACCAGTGTTCTTGTCAATTGTTAACCTTTTATAAAACAATAAACTGAATGATAAAAAAAGTAACAGATCATTTAGATAAATATGGTTAGACAAAATTAAACTGCATCATATTCTATATATTTTTGCATTAAAATCAGTCAAAGATAAAAAAGTTTTTATATTTCTTAATATGAAAGTTAATAATGAACAATCATTACTACTGATCTACTCAATGGTGTTTTATACATGAACGATAATACATTTATTAAAATATAAGAAACATGGATCTACGACGAGTTCGAAGAGATCCAAAATACAAGTGACTTACTTCACTGTTGATATAGAAACATGACCAATATCTTAGTTTTTATTATGAATGGGGTTATCTAAATTTGGAGAATGTTTTCTCCCTTTTACATCAGCCTTTAGTTAATGATTTTATTTCGTCTAAGATATGATTTAAATTGATCTCATTGCTATGATCCTATACTATTTAATAAGAACCTTGTTTCTGTAATACCTTAGCTACGAAAATTTACTTACGATACTTTGTAATTACGTCATATGTGTTCGTATGACGTACTTATCATCGTCATTAACACAACTATGCAACTTTACCATCCATGATAGAAGGTGAATCATACCTTATCTCTATTGTTTTTATTCTTTCGTAGCTCTCATTTTGCATGCATATAAATCGTTAAAAAATTCATAAGAACTAAACTTAATTTAAGACAATAAAATGCATATCATATTTCATCTCTGTTTAATTGTTACTTTACTAGCCACTTCTATCGATTGCCAAGGAGCTCGTGGTGGTGGAAGTCGAGGTGGTAGCAGCATTCGTACTGGCAGTAGAGGTAGCTACATAAAATAATTATTTTGTATTCTATGTTTATTTATAATATGAATTGTAGGTAGTAGTTATCGTACAAGTGGAGGAAGCTCATGTACTGGTGATGGTTGTACAAAATCAGGTGTCATTATTGGTAGTATATTTGGTGGTGTATTTGGCCTACTTGCCATTGTATTTGGTGGTATGTATTGTTACCGTCAATGGAAAGGACAACCCTTACGATCAAATCCAGCATTTGTCACTCAACCAACGTCTAATACGAACGAAACGTATTCACAAGGTTACTTTGAGACAGGTATATGGTCTAGTCGTTACTGTCAAAATAATAGTTGGCATGGACCTCATCAATTATATCTTTCATTCAGTGATACTATGTCTAGAGTCGATGGAGAAGGAACAGATGACATTGGTGCATTTACTATTGATGGTATATTTTGCCGGCAAACTCAAAAGTTAGCTCTAACAAAGATATATAAACAAGGTACGGGTAATATGGCAGAGAATTTTGGACATAAAGTTACTATACAATTGATTTGGAATTCGAATCAAAATGTATTTGAAGGTAAATGGTTTATTCATACGACAAAATATCGTGGAGAAGACAAATTTGAACTTAAATATCATCAAACTACAGAAAAATCCTGGGAAATGACAAAATATTGAACATTATTTATATTTATTGATTTGATATGAATAAATATATAAAATAAACTTTCAAACTTATATTGGATGTATTCAAGCTTTTTTCAAAAGTACGGTGAGATATTTCATCATTTCCCGACACATGTTTTTAAAGAAAAAAAATCAATGTTATAGAATTTATTTATGTTGATTTTTTTGTAAAATAATCCATGATGTAACTATAAATGAAAATAAAATTTAAAATCAAAACAGATACAAACAAAGAAAAGAAACGAATACAAAAATAATCTTTTTGACACTGCTTAAAAAGGCTGAGCTAGCAGCGCTGGGTGTTGTTGTCGATGTCGTTGACATGGTAGAGGCTGTTGTGGTGGTGGTAGCGGTAGTAGTAGTTGTTATTGATATTGGGACATTAAATGGTAAAGTGTAATTTTGTGAAACCACTTGAACAATACTTAGGACTGACATTTGTGATGCACATTCAGGGTTATTGCAGGTATACAGCAAAATTTCACCAATTCTAGCTTGATCTAATGCTTGAATCCAAGTAACAACTGGCTGTGCTGTGGAATTTGCGCATGTACTCGAGAGTGCGGGACGTACGGCATCTGACCAATACTCAAAAACAGTTTGACAGAATCCTTCACCGGAACATGGTTGCATACTTGGACAAGTCTCACCAGGTCGTAGATCAGTTGAATTAAAGAGGCTATCGGCTAATTCACTTCTTAAAACTTTTACTAGCGTTCGAACTTTGGTCCAGTCACTATTTAAAACATTTTTAGCAAATAATAAATCACATTCATCTGGTGTGGAACAATGAAACTCGATTGTTAAAGTGACTGATTCATTATAGAGTGAAAAAGCAGTTAATGCATCGAAATTAGTAGGTTTTGGTGGTGTTGCAGGATTAAATTGTCCAGTAACTGCACCAGTGATATAATCAATATTTAATAAAACTTGGCAACTTTGTTCACTAGCTGGTTTATCGATAGTAGTACAAGTTGGTGGTGCTATATGTTCGAGATTACTGGAGTATTCACAAGCAGTGGCACACACCAGACCATCGACAAGTTGAGTCGATATTGACGACAATAAGATGAAGACGATGAAATGCAACATTGAAGATAAATGTGAAAATGATCTTCTGGCCGTCTTTTTTCTATTTTATTATATGCGATATCTTATCTATTTTTGCAAGTTACATTATTTTGTGCAAATAGATATATAGCTAGGCAAGTAAAAAAAAAATTTCGTTAGTATAGAAGAGATACAACATTTTCATTCTGTTGTTGTTATCATCATAATAATTGTTATTGTCACTAAGACTTCGTTATATAATTTTTGTTTCTAATAACAATAATTTGATAAAAATCATATTTTAAAAAGTGAGTATAAGAAAAATATAGTAATATGACAATTTTTACTTGGTGATTTAAACTAAAAAATAGATTTTAATGAAATTTAAAATTTTCTTGAAGGTAGATGCATGCGTCAATGTAAAAGATAAAAAGAATAATTTCATTTTCATTCATCATAAAATACTTATCAGTTGATATATTATGTTTTATAAAACACAAACAATGAAATAGATTTTAGTTTAGTAAGGAAAATATCATTAACTACGAGAAGTCAATGATTGATAGGCTGGCAAATGATACATATTTGCCCAAACATGTGAAAGACATACAGATGCATGAAAACGAAAAAAAATTTGAAGTGGTGTTGCAATTGCAGCAATAATAGACCATGGAATAACATGATAAAAAGCCAATTGAAATGGATTAGCTTCATGTTTAGTTGTTGTGGTTGTTTTTTCAAACCAAAGACTTAAATCAAGTGTAATCAGTAGAGTAATCATTTCACGTGCTGGATAATTATGTTTATTCGTTCGTCTCAATCGTTTACGTAATGCAAGAAGAATGAATAGTGCATGAACAGTACCTTCGATAAATTCTAAAAAAAAAATAATATCATTCTAATTAAAAAGTACAAACTAAATTAGAACTTCGCATAGGATTTTAACTCTGACAATTTATTTTACCTAAAATAATAATTGATAATTTAACATATGCGACCCATGTTGATGAACCCAAATAACCAAAAATAGCGAAAGCACTAAATATTGAATATAAATAGATGCCTGTTAATGAAATAATAATGAGAACATCATCAAAACCTATTCAATAGAATCATATGTATATATATTAGATTATCATTTTTCTCTTATATGTCTTACGTGTTGTTGTTCGTCGATAGTTTAATTTACGAATTTTAATTAATGACCATATTGTTGCACATAATGAAAGTGCTAACAAACATAAATTTACGATTTCAAGTATAACAATACTATAATCTATTCTTGCTGAACTCTTAAATATGGTTGGATCATGACCAATAGTATTTGTTGTCGACGATAATGAATATTTTTCTATAGTTGCTGTATCAGAGAGCATAAAATGTGTATCACCGATTTTATTTCGAAAAACCGCATAAAGAATAATCGAAATCATTGTACATGAAAAAACGAACATACCACCAAAAAGACCTTTGTTAGATGCATGACAATTAATCATAAAGACATTTTTTGTTGATGATTTATCTGATATTTTACGCGTAAATGTTTTGCCAATATTTTCCCAAATAAGATAAAACAACTATATAGAATATAAAGAAAGAAGTTAAAAAACAAGAAAACGAAATTTACTGTAAGACACATTAGACTAAATTCAATCGTACATGGATATAGGAGTGGTTTGAGTTTCATATATCCTTCATTAATGATTGTCGTAACTGGTAATCCATGGGTAGATAAATTGGAACATTTCGAGGGATAAAATAATAAATCATGAAGAAAATTAATCGTGTTGTCACTGTCTTTTTTTTTGATTGAAAAAAGTAAATTATAAAAAATATGATGATCAATGCTTACTATTATTAAAATGACTAATAATATTATTTTGTTGGGCTACAACTATTTCATGACCATCCATTTCTTCAATTTGTGATTTTGTTTCAATTACAACCATGCGAAACCTATTAAAATATATAATAATATATTATTATCTCTAAGTAATCAAACTATTTGCATTTTTTTCATAATGATTAACAATAAACCTACCATACACATAAATTAGTAACAGCAATATGAATGACAGCCAATCGAGCGATACATTCATGAGCTCGAATAATGAGCTGAAACAAAAGTAAACATTTGATTTATCATTCAATAGTCAAAGTACATACATTAGAATGTTTAAAAATAAAAAAGAATTGAATAAAACTAAAAACTAATCGAGAAAAATCATCCATTATTGCTGTCCATCGTGTACATCGACGAGTTTCTAAATTGCTTAGAATTGATAACCCAGCATGAATTACTGTACCAAGACAAAAAACTAGAACGATTCATATCGATAAAACAAAAGTAATTTCTGAAATTTTATTTGACTTACTTCCTATTCCTATACGAGTATAAAGTCCACCAACAATAGATTTATCATCATAATTATAACCAATAGCATTTTGAACAATACTATTTTTACGATCACGTACATAAACTCTAAGATCTTGTGTTTCAGCAGGATCGAGTGCACGTCGTCGAATCAATACATCTCGTGTCATATCTATTGATGTTTTTGTTGTCGATGATACATGTGAAAGATTATCCAAAGAAGTTGATTTTGTACAACCATCTGGAATAGTCAACATGTTACCATTGCCTGTTGATTGTTTTGAATGATGTTTTTCATTTTCATCGAGTAATTGTGAATTGATATACGATGTACTTGATGCTTTTCGAATTGTTTGTAATGGTATCGGTACAAACTTGTTTTCCGTTGAATGAATATCTTTAATGATAGTTGATTGGTTTGAATTAAATCCCTGTAAATTGCTTGAAGGAATAATAGCTTTCTGTTTACGATAAACAATATCAATAATACAGAATATAATCCAAATGATAGATATCCAATATAAACAGGTGAAATAAATCTATAGAGAGAGAGAAGAAGTTCGATTGATGTTATAAGTAAATTTCTGTTCTATTTTAAGATGAATATAATTACTTCCGCTAAATGTTTGATAATTTCAGCATCTTCTCTTGATACAATAGCATGTGAAATTGAAAACGTTACACCACCAATAAATATAACTACAAAATTACACAGTATACAATCATGGTTAATTCTCGAATTTTCAACTATTAATCTTTTACGAAGATATCATCTACAAGTAAATTCTAACTACATCGACACTTATAAACTTTATTTAATAGAAATAGATTTAATCTGTCTGATCAGCCTTCGACTCACTTAAGTAAAGTTTGAATTAGCCTCAGTTGGAATGTCTGTGAATAATCCGCTGGAATATTAAATCAAAATTCAATATAACTTACCTAAACCATATAGAATGCTGAAGATTTTGTAGACATCTGCATTCTCATGATTAGTCCTATATAAAAAAAAAATTATTTTTAATCAGACACTGATTAGTGAAAAAATTATCTTCTGAACTATCCTATGTCAAACTCTATCGATATTCATAATGTTATCGAAGCTTGTCATAATATCAGAGGCTTACAAAGAGAGTGGCACATGTTATTTTTTACTATAGATTATAGTATTACTGGTAGTATGTGAAACAAATCATACGTTCTCATCTACAATATATAATCAAAATAAATTCTGTTTCTCAAAGATAGTTTACTAATAGCAAAAAAATAGTTTTTTTTCAAATTTCCTACAAATTAGTTATACAAAAATAATATTGCATAGTATTTTTTCGAAATATTTGATTTTAAATGAAAAAAAAATAATTAATTATGTTAGGGCTTTTCTAATACTTTGACATTATCTATTATCGTTTTATATTGAATTTTAAAAAACTCAAGTATTTATTTATAACAAGAGAAAAATATTACGTTTTACGAAATCCTGCATTGATCAATGCTTCTTCCTTTGTTATTTCAGTTTTGTCCATTGCTTCTTCCATTAGTAGAACAATAAAGAATGGATATATTAAATAAATCGTGATGTCTTTTTTCTCTTATCAATATAACACCTGTTGTGTTTAGTATAAGAACAGATTGATAATCGTGTTTTTTTCGCATCATACTCTCTCTAGAAACACCAATCTAAATGCATATTTACCGCATGGTTCTATGTTCTTTTTCTTTTCTTTTCAATCTTATTGAATACAATATTATTTGTAGGTCATCATTTTTATTGAAAACAAAATATATGCTCATTAACTAAGAGTATGAGTATGATTTAGTCTGCCTTTCACCAACACCTTCGTGACATACTAGAAAAATCTAAATGAATCTGAAATCTACTAACAATTTTATATAATCGATAAGATATAAGCAGTTTGCTTGCATCAAAGCAATGCATCTTGATATATTATAGTAGCTATTTAATCACATCTCGAAAAATTCACATTTATTTACTGTGTGAGCTTTTAATAAAATATACGAAGATAAATTCCGACGATTTGTGAAAGAATATTTAGGTAATTAATGTGTAAATTAGACGAAAACTATGGAAAAAGAACAGATTATGAATAGAATAAAATGTAAAAAAATAATCACATTTCACAAAAGATCTGTTACGAGATATGCGAAAACTAACAGATAGAATGTATAAAATCTATGACGATTGACTCACTGAAATCATTTTTGTCCAGTTTAAATATTTTCTTAGATCAAATTTGTTACGGTATAAAAATTATTCAAAACTATTATTCATAGATAAATTATTGAGACTGAGTGTCGATCTCTTCTTCTCGTTGACCCACACCCTAAAATAATTATCTTAATTTGTGTCAGTTTTCTGAATATTTAAGTTAGACTTTATTGAATTCGATAAGTATATACAATACAAAATAAATGAAGTTTTCTCTTTGTTTTTTTGATTATTAAATATATTGATGATAGTATTAAACGATTAAAAATTTTCTGAAATTCTTTCTACTGATGGAGATAAACGTACAAGAGAATGTACATCAATAGCTGACATTGTTCGAATCCAGAAAAAAGATTTAATAAAACCAAATTTTTCACAGAATCGATCATATATATAAACTTTTCGTTTTAATAAAAGTCGATCAGGTATCCACATATTCGAATCATTCGACCATATTCGACTTGTTATATTCCACATAAATGCTAATTGTGTAATTGTTGGAGTATCAGTTATATTTATAATATTCGCTGAAAATCCAAGAAATAAAAGCCATTGATTAATTGGCCAATTTGATGGATTTCTTGTTTGTCCAACAAATGATACTTGATATACTTTAATAAGAAGTAGTAAAAGAAGTAAACTAATAAGAAAGATAATTTGAAAAGAAATTACAAATATAAATATACAATATAATATTATTCGAATAGATTTGGAATATTTATTAAATATAGGTGTACATACATAGATTTGTGTTGAGAGAAAATTAAAACCAGTTAAAGATATTATTGGAATTAACTTAATCATATTAAATGCCATTAAAGTAAATTCAACATCAAGTAAATTTATCCATCGACCTTGACCTGAACATAATACATATTTATTTTTAAAATTTTCAATTAAAAATTTTATTAGAGTATAGAATAATAACAAATGTACTAGAATAAATTCACCATAAAAAATAATTGAATGAAAAACTGTATAAATATCGGCAAAATCTTCTGGTTGATATATTACACTACGATAGACCATAAATAAATTGAATAAAGGTAAGATCAATGTTAATATACCAAGTATAATTTTTAAATAATAGGATACGGGATTATGAGTTATTTTATTCGATATATATTCCCCCAATTGTTCTTCATTACGAAAGATAAATGTATTGGAAAATAATTGAGATGATGTATCACTCATTGTAAAAAATAATATTTTACTGAATATAACACAAATTTGCTCTCAACTTTTGTTATTACATAGTAGAAATATAGGTGTATATACGCAAATAGATCTTACCTTTTCTTTTCATATTTATTCTGTTTCCTTATGTACTTGTTGAATATATATGTGTCCAATGGACTGCATCGTACTTATAATTACAAATTTAGGTGATATATATATACATATTCATATTAATGTGAAACATTAGTAGAAAAAAAACAACCTTGCTAAATTAAATTGATCGAGAATAATAACTCATATATTTGCCGTTGGTATCTAATAAAACAACATTCGTCATCGGAACTTTTAAAATGTATATATCGTAATTATGTATATACTGATTGATCTTAAAAATAATTATACATCGAATGTACTATTACAATGTATATATCATAATTATGTATACACTGATTGATCTTAAAAATAATTATATATCGAATGTACTATTACAATGTATGGATATATATACGAGAATCATTCAACAGTCAAGAACTGATGAATCTAAGAATATTTTACTTCACCTATTTATTTAAAATAAAATCAAGTATAAATATCGAGAGGGATATATGATGAATTTGCTATCGCTTTATTATTTACATGTTTAATATGTATCTTCAGTTCTGTAAATTTTCTTTATATTTGCTATGTATACTTCAAGTAAATTAATAATATGTTACTATTATTTTAATTGAGAATTTCGAAAAGACTAATTAGATTTCTTATTGATTTTTTTATCTTGATTATTTACTTATATTTTAACCTTTTTTTATTAATATCAATTTTTCTTTTAGTCTAAGATAAAAACTGATTATTTTACAATGAGTTCTATTATTATTATTACTCTTTCATGATGAAACCTTTTATAATATTAGCTATACACCACATCAGTCTAATTGTAAACTTTTTTTCCTTCTAATAATTGCATGAGTTGTGTGCTCATATACGTGAACAACGTTGTAAAAGAACGACAAATTTCTTCGTCCTTCTTGTCGTCTAAAACAGTAAGACAATTGTAGCGTCTTCAGAAAAAAAAAGTGAAAAGATTTTTTTTTCCTTCTTTCGTTGCTAAGAGAAAAAAGAAGCAAAGATGTTGAACATTAGTTGTGTAGACATTTCTTAACCAGTTTGCAACAAATATTGAATCAAAATGAGCCATACACACGGTACTTTAGAAGTAACTATCGTTGAAGGTCGTCATTTAAAAGATGAAGATATTGTTGGAAAAAATGATGCCTATGTTGAACTTTATGTGGATAAACATTATAAACAGCGAACAACAACAACTGCTCAAAATTCTAATAATCCAACATGGAATGAAAAATTTACTTTGTTTGTTCAATTTTCATATATGATAAATTTCAATAAATTTATTTTTATTTTAGTCATTTACAAAAACATGATGATGATTTACATTTACATGTATACGATGATGATGTTGTCGGAAGAGATTCTGTTGGTTCAGCAAAGATTGATTTAAAAAAACATGTCTTTGGTAAAGGTCGTTATGATGACTGGGTTAAATTACCAGCCATGTTAGGTCTTCGTTCCAAAGGTGAAATTCATGTCATCATTGAGCATCATGTAATTAATCGTTTCTTTCTTAAATTTAACTATAATGTTTGTTTTATATTTTAGCCGTAATGCATTATTATCAAAATAATTTATTTGCTTTTTTAACCAAGCGTAGACGAACTATTTCAAACTATTGCATTATAAAATCATGTAGTCCATTTAGAAATAAAATAATTTAAATATATATTTAATTCTAAATAACCGATATTTTAATATTTATTTGTTTTGTGAATGAACCAATATAAATTTAACGTATCAAACATTGAACTTTCATAAAATGTAGAAGTGAATTATTACATAATGATTATAAAATGTAATTATAATCGCCAGAGAAGAAAAGGTTTGTGTGTAAGATATGATATAGTGCAGTATTTAAACTTATATTCGCATTTAAAACTATGAAAACACGCGTTGATTGAGTATATTGAAGTTAAGATATTAAAAATGAATCGTCGTAAAGCATCGAGAATGCTTTTTATTGGATTAAATGCTGTTTGTATTTTCTTGAAATATCTTCGTATTTACACAAAATGAAATCTGTAGAGTACTCATAGCTAATGTTCTTTTAATTTTAAAGTTTTGTTGAAGAAAATTTTGAACTAGCAGATGTAACGTTGTTTATGTTATTCTATTTTTTCACTCGGAATAAATACAAATTGATTGCTAAAATGCAATCTAATAGTGAAGAACCCAAACGTAGTACACTTCACTGATTTTCTTCAAGAAAAAGAAAATTAATAGTTCTACTTCTATCTCTGATATAAATAAATCGTCGCTCATAACAACATCAAATGAAACAGCTTATTGTTTGATCAGTGATTATCTTGAATGACTCTGAGCATCTTCACCATCAACAATTAGTGACATCACTAAAGTAAGGCTGGACGAGGCTCCACCTTATCACTGAATATTTTAAAAAGATCGAATTGTTTTTTTAAATGATTAGAGTAACAAAACTCAGAGTATTAACATTTCTTTTCTGTTACGACTTATTTTGAGTTAATCAGTCGATTGCACTTTAAAAATTTGTTTTCGATCATTTTTTTTACCGAAAAGATGTTTCCAACATAAAAATAAATTACGTTTGATTGTAAACAAGTAAATGTCAGCTATTCAGCAAATCTATTCATATAGGTATACGTGTCTCTTCCCACTAAGCAAACAGAACAGAATAAAATCCCCTCTATCCAGGAAAAAACCAACATACAGAAAGGAGAAAAAAATATGTATAAGCACATGAATAACTATTGTTGTGCAATACCTTTTGATGTTAAACGACTGGGTTTTATTCAAAAGAAAATAATGAGTCATGCAATTATGTTATATATAAGATGGTTTTTTTTCTATTCTTCACATATTTACACGTTCGAAATAACACACATCGATGTCTGACGTGTGCTTTTCTACTTTGCCTGTCGAACTTCTTCATCATGTTTTCAATTACGTCGAACTTGAAACGATTCTTCTTTCAGTTCGTCTTGTTTGCAAGAACTTATACGAAGCTACCAAAAGCTATAATCGATTGAGACTCGAGCTCAGCTCAACAGACAGAACCTACGCCAGACGCTTGTCTCGATTGGTACAACCCGCAAATATTATTGCCTTGACTATCCCTATTGGTATCACAATGCGGCGTATCGTCGATATATTTTTCTCTGGACTCGGTCTCAGTCAATGCACTCAGCTGAAGACGTTAACTATCAATAATCCAACACAAGCCGAGCTAGAATACTATTTACGAACCATCACCAGCAGCTCTCTGATTTCACTGTCGATATATCTCTCAAAAGAAGATACTCTGACTATTAGCAATGTTACTCTTCTCTCATCCATTCTTGCTCAACCTACTTTTCGAAAACTGAATTTACAATCCTACGAATACACGATCCAACAACTATCACTGCCAGATCAGTGTACATTGAATTATTTGTCAATCACCATTTGTAGCTCTAGTGATTATCTGATCATTCTTCGTCAATGTCCTAATTTACAAACATTAATCATTAGCCGCTGTATAGTTGATAATAGTGATTATTCAATGTTTTCATCTTCTGCTAGCACATACCATCAAGATCTGAACTCTCTGAGGATCGATGATTGTGAACTACCAATGATATGCGTCCAATCATTTCTTTCACTTACGCCTTTCCTGGTGCATCTAAAACTCGTCTCGTCAAGAGCAACGCTTGATGAAGCCTTCGATGGTTCTTTTTGGATGAGCTTAGTTCACAATAAACTGTCTTTCTTACATGATTTCAAATTTTTATTCAAACACCGTCTTCGCAGTACCGACAAGTATCCTAGTATCAGCTTGATCATTACTCCTTTTCAAACTCCGTTCTGGCTGAACGACAAACAGTGGCTTGTTACATGTGACTTTGATATACGCACGGCTGTAATAACACTCTATACATCATCATCATTCTCAATCGCTCATAGTGAAATTTTAATCAGATGTAAATCATTATCATTAGAAAGTAATATGAATATTTTATCTGAACTGTTACCCAGTAATATAGCCAATATTAATAAAGTACAGGTATATTTTTTTTTTCTTTCGCATTACAGACAGACTATTATTATTATTATTATCAGTCATAAATTTATCGAATTAGTTTGCAGCTTCATCTGCATGATTTTCTGTTCAGAGCTATTGGTGCCTCTACCACACTTATATCCGTACATATCTAGCTTGAAAATTGAGTTCAATTCATTTTCAAATTTCCTACTACTGAATATTTACTTAATATACGACTTTTTTCACATATTTTTATATTAAATAGACATTAAACCTTGCTCATGGACACATTGGCGATACAGAAGCTCAACACATTGCTAATGCATTGGAAAACAATACGGTAATCCATTTTATTTTTTTAATCTCTTTTATATACATCTTTATTTTTTACAAAGATATTTACTAAAATGAACTTTAATTTCAATCAAATTGGAGCATTAGGTGCACAACATCTATCTAACGTATTACGAGACAGCACGGTTATTCTTATCTACTTAATTGTCTCTCATGTTGTTTTTTACGTTTTCTATAGATAGTGACTGAGCTTCATTTCAGAAGCAATTGTATCGGAGCAAGCGGAACTCAATATCTTGTCGATGCGCTTTACAATAACACAGTAATTCTCATTCCCTTTAGATCTCTCATATATATTTTCAATTTTTATCATAGACATTAGTTGAACTCATTCTTAGTGACAATCAGATAGAAGCGCTTGGAGCAGAATGTATAGCGAGTCTATTGCTAACGAGCACGGTAATTTGCTAAATTTTTTAAAATATTTTTTATATTTTCTTTTACTTCTTTCAACAGACATTGCATACTCTTAATCTAAGATCTAATCAAATCGGAACATCAGGTGCACAATATCTTTCTAATGCATTACAAATGAACACAAATACGGTTATATCTGCTTCCGATTTACCGTTTTGAATTTATGTTATTTATTTTTATAGAAATTAACCATACTTGATCTTGACTATAATGAGATAGGAGCAGAAGGAGCAAAATATCTTGCTGATCTATTATCGAACAACAAGGTAACTCTCATTTACTTTAAATACCTGTTGAATTTGTTTTTTCTTCTATAAATGAAGACACTGGCCACACTTAACATTGGAAATAATCAAATTGAAGATCTCGGAGCAGAATACTTATCTAATGCGTTGCAAAAGAACAAGGTAATCTAATGGTTTAAGAATTATATTTTTATTCTTATATTTATTATTAGACATTGACCACACTTAACTTATTTAAAAATCAAATAGGAGTATCTGGAGCAAAACATCTTGCTATTGCATTAGAAAACAATACGGTAGCTCTTATTTCCACTCGATTTCTTTTATAGCTTATTTATATTCATTCCTACACATAGACATTAACAACACTTGAACTGGAAGGAAATCAAATCGAAACATTAGGTGCTCAACATTTTGCTAATGCATTACGAAAGAACATCGTAATTTTCATTTGCTTTCCATTTTCCTGATATCCATCTGTAATATTTTCAATAGACACTAGAAATACTCGATATTCGAAGCAATCGAATCTGCAACGATGGGGTTCAATATCTAGCTGATGCGTTACAAGTCCACACGGTGATTTTCATTTTCATTAAAGTAGTTTACATATATCTTCACTTTTTCTAATAGAAATTAACTGATCTCCGACTCAAGCGTCAAACCAAGGGCATGGATTCAACAACTTATCAATAAACATAATCGAACAAAATAAGCATCTAAACAACAAATACTGATGATGTCATCAAAACTGAACTATGAATATGAATTGATTTTTTCTTTTTTAGTACTGAATTTAAAATAAAATATTTTAGAAACGATAAACTATGAAATATATTCAATTAAATAATCATTATAAAATGAGTGTAGTAAACAGAGGATCCTCATACTCCCATATCATCTATTTCACTAGTGACACCATATCGAGAATGTAAATTTTGGTATAAAATTCCTTGCTCCCATCGTAAGAAAAGCGGACATTATATTATGTGAAAGAAAATATTTATTTTAGCGTTGTTATGAAAATCCAATTATAGATCGAATTATTTATCTGTTGATAATGCACCTGCGCTCATCCCATAACCTACACCTTTTGGACCGAATAAACGCCGATAACAATCTATAGTAACAAAATAAATAGTAAAAAAATTCGATTAATCAAAAATCTAACTGTTATCATAAATTTTGCCATTATGCTCAGAAAAATTTGCTCCATTAATACTCTTGTCACAATTGGCACATCTGTAGCAGAACTTGTGAAATGACTAAATAAATACATAAAATTGTGAATTAAAACATAGCATTATGCTTTTACCTGTCCAGCAGCTTTGATTTCTTCAGCAAAATAAACAGGTTTTCCACAACCTGGACAAATATTACCTTTTGGTTTTGGTTTTTCTGTCGGAATTGTCGATGGTATTGTCGATGGTATTGTTGGTGCACCATGACGTATAATGCCGTTTGTTACTGTTCTTTCATCTTTCTATTGGCAAAATAAATCTATTAATATTAGCTCAAAGTATAGATATAAAACATGTATATTTATATAGATTTATCATATCGTTATCTAACATTTCAAAAGTTTTAAGTCGTAGTCGACAATTTATCAATTATTTAGTCGCTTTACTGTGAAAAACTAATGATGAAATATAGCTCATACAACAGATAGAATTATGTCACTATTTCGTTAAGTTGATATATTCAATTTTATGTATTGATACTAACAAACAAATATACAGAATTATTGTTAGTCGTTGGTGGTTCGGTGAGTGGAGACTAAAACATGAAAAGAGAATAAATATTTATTAAGTGAGATATGATTTATATGATATTTTTTATTTTACTTGATCAACAAGTTGATCCAAAATACGAGAGGGATTGGATGACATGATTAGCTTTGAATAGATTAAGATATTTCTTGCTTGTAATTCACTTTTCTTTCAATCAAAAGAAAGACAAGCAAATCAAATAAATAATAAATATTACAAATGAGAATAGCACACGACAAAAGAAAAAGAATGATTATGATACCTATTGTCTATTTATAAAAGAAAAGAATATTAGTAGAACAATGAGAATAATAAAATAGACTGTTATAATAAAAGTCGTTTTCCTTTTGTCGACATGTGTCGTCGGCGGTGTAGTAATAAAATAAATCTTTATTTATTGACATAAAACGTTGTAAATGCATCAGCTATTGCCGTTATCAATATCTGGAGTATACATATTATCATAAATCTGAATAGTCAATCCATTATGAGAATCGTAGATAGTAGAAAAAAAAGAGTGATAAAAAACGACGAATTACTTACAAGTTTCGATTTATTTTAGTCAAAACTTTGATGTTCTAGAAATCATGATACAGAATATTTCTAATCTATACAAATCGATAAATGATCACTCGTTAGTTTTATATTAATGTACAAATAAATTATTAAGATCAAAAAGATTCATGTTAACTTAATCTCACTAAAATCTAAGTGTATTAAATTATTATTATGTCGTGTTTGAACTAACATATATGACAGCTTTTGTTTCCATTCATTTAGAATCAATCAAAGTAAAGTAATATCTGTTTTATCGAGACAATATTTATTTCTCTATTGAAAATGTTAATACGAGAAAGATAAATAACACAGTACAACGATTACATTAAACAAAAGCAATATATAGATTCTAAACACAAAAAGATCACGAATAATGATTTAAATAATTAATGTTCATTATTGTTCTCAATTGTTGCTATTGGTGTAACTCGACGGCCAAATACATATGCTTGTAATGGTGTTACTACTTGCGAACGAGGTCGGTTATTATCTATTGATGGTACTGGCGAGATCGGATTTGAAATGACTCTTGATATTTTTGATGCTGGTCTGGCGTCATCAGATGATATTTGCTTTTCTAAAACTGGCGAATGATTGCTCTGTTTTGCATGTTGATCACGTTCAAAAGCATTATAAACCTTGTAAGGACGAGTCGGTTGACGTATGATATTACCTTGATGAACGATCTTATTTTGAGATACACGGTTTTTTCGATTTTTATCAGAACAACTAAAAACTTCATTTTCAATTATCAGCTAACAAAAAATATGAAATTACCAGAAAGGAAAGCAGCAATACCAGCAAAGACTTGTGAGTAAAAATGTGATAAGAGATGCAAGAACAGGTGCAAGCCAAGGCCAAGGCCATGAATACTTACAAACTAAAATTACATTAGAGATTTTAATACAAAAAGATTGAAAAATACATTACCTGAAGAGAATGTTATTGGAATAGTTGAATCTAAATTCGGCTTAGAAGATGATGATATTGGACTGATTGGATCTAAATCTTCAGCAGAAGACAATGGTATTGAACTGTTTGAATCCAAATCTTCAGCAGAAGATGACGACTGTGGCAGAGACGAACTAAAATACCATAAATGTATTTTATTTTGTTTAGTACAGAAGAGATTATTCTTGGTCTATACATGCACACATATCTTTAATATTCATCCAAAAAATAAACTGACATGCAAATATGATCGCTCTATTTGACTTACTGATGAAACAAAAATTAGATAATTAAATTTTTTTATCATGTTAACTGCGAATTTTAGCATAACTACTTCAAATATTTATATGTACGTACTCATTGACGTTCATTGATGTTACATCTGGCTCTTTATTATGATCTATCGACGTGAAAACAACTGTTGTCAACTCCTGTTCTCCTGGACACAATGGAATACCATCTGCAACTACTATAAATGTCATACAGTATTGATTTGACTGAGTATTGTCACTAGAATAAAAAATATTTATATTATTATAATAATGTTTCTTGTATAATAAACATACCTGTCAAGAGCTATAGCACAAAGAACTTGTGATCCTACTTGTTCGATTGTTGGTGTCCATGTTAATAAAGTTGACCATGAACTTGGTGTCTTTTGTTCAATAGATTTTTTAACAAGAGATGAAAATGATAATACGGCAATATCTTTGATTATTGTCGTACTTGGACAAAAATTTTCAGCTACGAGTTCAATTTCAATTGGTTTATTAACTACAACTCCAAAACATTGTTTCTGTTGATTGTCAACATGAGTAAGAAGAGGACGATCATTGCATCGTGGTTTATTTTGTACATTAATTAAAAATTGAATAGGAATGATACTTAAAGGAATAGTCGAAGTAGAGTCGATGAAATCTTCAACCTATATAAAAGTATGAATTAAAATAAACACGTCTAAAAAAATTTATTTATCCAAAGAATATAATACAGCTGAATTATCTTTTGTTTTTCTGTATAACAGTTTTCTAACATTAGAATACAGTATAACTTTTGGAAAATATCTAATAATTTATAAAAATATACAATGATGTTTTTCTTACCACAACTGCTACTGCATACCAATCGAATAGAGTCGAACCGGTGATGAACAATGTGCAATTTGAATAAAGTATAGTTCCACTTGGTAACGAGTCTGGAGGACATACACTGGCACACTCATTATTATTCTTAGCAAAACGACATCGTACTTCATCACTGTCGGCATCGATTGTCGTTATAACAATGATTTGTTGAACTCCTACTGGTATAAAGATTGGAGATATCATTGTTGATACAGGAGGAGTATTATATTTGCCATTGGGTCTCAATCGTAGATCAATCAAACTGAAAAAACTCCACCAACCAGATACACCGATTCCTTTTGGTAAAGCTAAATCACGCCAGTATGCACTCTGATAATTAACAACACAACAGGACGTATTTTCCACAATCATTACAGAGGAATTGTGAAGAATAACAGTATCAAGACTCGTTGAATAATCGGTACAATAAAAACTAAACGAAACATTTGACGATACATTTGTCTGCTTACAATCTTTAACACAACGAAACGCGACGTTAATATTTGCTACCTCTGATCGTTGAAAAATCATGGTATCATTACACGGCAAGTATGTATAGGTGTAAATGTAAGTTTGTGTAAGAAAAATTGATATATGTGATCCATTGGTGTTTAAGACTTTGTAATTAATCGTTCCACCTTGAAAATGTACTGCTTCATTGATATTTAGAATAGTAACATAAATGAATATAAAAAAATGTTTCATATTAATCTTCATTGTTGTTATTTGTTGATCAATGAATTAGCTGGTTGAGTATGTTATTATTCACTAAAAATGTCTTTCTCTACTTTGATCAATTGTTGCTTTCGATTATATAGTCAACGATTAGATATCAATATTGTCAGTAAAAGAAAAACAAATATTACAGTAATATTTGTTATATCTACTTAATTTTTTTCCGATTCAGTTTAAACATTTGATGAAGTATCATATTTTTCTGTTTATTAAAAACGTTCGGCAGTAGTAATTGAAATATGATTCTAGATTTAAGTTTTCTAAAATTGTTAATAACAAAATATAATCAGTTTGTGTCTCAACTCATATGATATTACAAGTCATGTAAAAAACGATTTTTAACACTTTGTTAAGAAGAAAAAACTGTAGTTAAATAATTGTATTAGGACGAGTACTTCAGGAATAAAAGAAACTATCGAATTGAATGATCTTGGATTACTTAAAGAAAATGTAATTGTTCTTGTTTCCGATGACTGTCAACATTCGGACGCTATTTTATGTATAGATTATCTCATATTTCAGACAGTAGATAGGACTATTTGCTATTTTCCGTAATAACTACGAATGTATGCTTGGTAAATATCAGTCTACTCAGATATGATATATCACATTACCGTGTGACAATATTATACAAAGTAGAAAAAGAAAAACAATGAAAATGTAATTTTTATTTCTCTGAAAGATATTTTGAGAATATCATTGTTTCAGTTTATTTCAAAGTGAAATTGATTACTTTGATTTTAATTATTGTTTAGTCTTATTCTTAAATTCAATTCGACATAATTTTATTTGATAATATAACATATTAATGATAGCTATTCATAAACTTTTACCAAAGAAGTTATGGATAATGTTTAGTGTAATTTCAACGATATGGTATGAAAAGAGAAATTGCCCCGCTCAGTCTAAATCTTTTATTTAGTAATGAACACATCGATTTTGACAATAAGATTATCATAAATCAGCAGCGTGGCGCAGTGGAAGCGTGCTGGGCTCATAACTCAGAGGTCGGTAGATCGAAACTACTCGCTGCTATACAGCTCTTTTTTTTTTCTTTCTTTCCTACCAATATAAATAAATACAAATTAATAAACATATTGCTGAACTGTTAACGTTGAAATGATGTTTAAGTCAATATTTGATTTATTTATCTCTAAAACAAATCTAAATATATATGACTATTGATAATGCATACTATGAAAGTAAAATAAAAGATGGTCAGTCATAGTATCAGTTTACTCAATAGTATTGAATAATTACATTTATATAAAATTATTAATTAAATAATACGAAGAGAAAAGAAAATACTTTTCTGCATATTATAATATATTTTATTACATAGGTTCACGTCTGACAATAAAAAACATAATCATCAGACTGAATAGTTAATATTTTATTAATCTATGTTTGATAGACAATTAAACAAAATATTAAAAGAAATCGAAGTAGAACAATATAATTACATTCAACCTAAATCGTCGGTACATGTTGATAGTAAAAATATGAAATAACAGGAAAACTTTTTCTCTGATATGATTCAAGTGATGGCACATAGTATTTATAATCTTCAGCTGCTTGTTTAGCTTTTTTTTGAAATCTCTCAAACAATTTCTTCATTATCAGTAATACTTCTTCTTTGTGTCCGCCTGCCAGGGATGTGTAAACATCCACAGGGTCTCACGGATGCATTGCACCTGTGAGAGGCGCCCCTGGGCTGCTGGTAGCCACCTTGTCTTGTTCTTAGGCTAGCCCCCTACTAACGGGACGATATAAACCCTACTGGCTACAGAAAAGGATCAAAGAAAGTGCATAAATGCAACCAAATTTTTACTTTTTTTTTGTACTTGTCTTGATCTTCACCCAACACCGAAAGGTAAGGGTAATAAAACTAAACTAAACTTCTTTGTTTATTCTAGTAAATAGGATAGATCATTATTTTGAACATTCTTTTGATTGAAGCTTATTGTTTTTCTACAAGACTCATAATTGGATATACACATGCATACATCTATGAATATCTAAGTGCGAACGGTTTTTTTAAAGAACTTATTCATTGAAATAATTTCAATTCAATTATTACTCTCGTCTATTGACTATTTCAGATCAAAATTAATGATATTTTTCTAGATTCATTTATTTCAATAACAATTTTTATCTTCACTTCTTCTTCATCTTTCATATCGATTGAAAGAGATTCTTTTTTTCTATACAGTATTACAACAGAAGAATTGATTGAAACTAGATATAAAAATGAGCAAGACAGAAATCATTAGAAGGCTTATATTTGACTGTATATAACACACACAATTGAATCAGATGAGCTTCGCATTTTCTTGACATTTTTCAGATCATCGTATAGGTATAGCTGGCCATCATGACCGATGAGAGTGGCAATAAAATGAGCAGATTTATGATGTATTACTGCACGCCATGTATAGCTATTGAAGAAGATTCCGAAAATATTACAAAGACGATTAAAAATAAGATTTAAATAACTTACGAGACAGCGCCAATTCTTAACGGTAAAAGTAGCTGTAGATATATTAGATGTGGTATCATATAACCATCCCTATCTATGACGAAAAAAATTATAGAAAGATGTGAAAAGAGGATGAAGCAATATAACATACTCATAATCCTTCATGTTTGTTTTTTCATTAATTATCATCGGTACTCTATCTTTGTAGTTTTCTTCATGTGCCTCTTCATCAGCTATTTTATGTACGTCAATAGTGTAGATATTAAATTTCTAAATATGACTATTAAATGCGCTAAGAAGATACATTTACTGAAAAAAGAGATAAACCAATAGCGATATACTTACAAACAGAATTAGATCTATTGTTGATCTACTAAGTCAAAAACAAACTTTTTTGTCGTTCAGATGTTTTTAAAATGCCGTGACTGAGTAACCAATTGATACGAGCGGTATCTCATCCTTCTTTTTCAATCATTCGAAAAACTTTAGTAAGTGTTGCATATGGTGATGTTCTGATCGCATCATAAACGTCATCAGGAATATTAATAACTGTTCGATATATACAATAAAGAGCAAATAATGATGAATCTGTACACTCTAAAAAAAAAGAGAAGATATTCTTGAAAACTCAATAATAGAGTTTCTGAGTTACAATTAAAAGCTGAATCTACCTATGACGAATTTATAAAATATACATCGAAATTAGTTTTAAGTAACTTACTGGTTGCTAGTAAATGTAAGATTATTTTATTCATCTAGAATTTTATTGTTTTCACTGGTTCGGTTTTTTTTGCATGTGCCTTTCGTTTTCGTCACACATGAGCTACTTTCATATTGATCATACCTTTCTTTTTCTTTAGCGAAGATTTGCGCATAGCTGTCATACATTTTGTTTATCATGGTCATGTTCATACATAAGCTATTGTTTCAAATAAAAAACGTATATTGATAGATCAGTAATATCTGTTTTGCGCATTCTTTAAACATAGGTATCAATGAAAAGAATAATCGAAAATTATATCCATATATAAACATTTTTTTTATCATATGACTATTTTTTTGTATAGAATAATATTAACATAAGCAACAAGCATATCCTATATTTCTATCAAGGTTAAACGAAGCTCGTTATGTGCTGTCAATCTTTAAGATCAGTCATTTGTATTTTTTGTATCTATTCTTCTATCTAATGATAACGCCCTGCTTAAGATTAAAGAAGAAAAATCCATATTTTTCAGTACTCTCTTTCTCTCCCTCCTGTCCTTGTAGGGCTATATAAGACTGAGAATAATCTTGCAAAATTAGACGATAACTATTACTTTAAAATATATACTATCAACCAATACCTATTACTTCATTCAATACAAACAAGTCTAATGGCTAATAACAAGACGTTGGTATATATTTTGGGTTTATTAGTTTTATGCTCAACATTATTGTTTCAAACAATAATGGTAAGTATATTTTTTAAGAATATTTATTTATTTAATTGTTCATAATCTTTGCTTTCTTCATAGTAACAACGGATTTCACTCATTGGCATATAAACTAAAAAAAAACATTTTTATTATTTTATCATTTAGTCTGTTCAACCTTTTCGCCAAGTATTTTATTTTTACACTTTTTTGTTTTGATCTTTAAATATAAATGAAATAGTTAGAACGCCGATTATTTATTATCTTTACATAATAACATAAAATCAGTCTTTAAATATGATTTTATACAATCAGATTTGATATCAAATGAGAAGAAACAAGTATTGAAATTATCATATTTATGTCCGTATTCAAGCTGGAGAGTAAAAAACTAAAATCTCACATGTTTTGTAGAAAGAAAAAGAACAAAAAAAGAAGAATGTTGACAGTGAAGATAGTATGTGATGGTGACTAAGAATAAATGGCCTTGTGTATGTTAATATAAAAAACTGCTATATACAAAACAAAACATAATAAATTAGATATATATGAAGAACGAAATGTGCTTTTTAGTTGCAAATCGTTACTATTTACTTATCAACTATTTTGCATGGAAGATTATCTGTTAATCGAATTAAAAAATAATAGTAAAGTTTATGATAAATTCGCATTTCTGCGTATCATTTTATAATGAATTCACACCTGCAATGAAATGTTACAAGTCTTATATCAAAGATACATTTGATATATGTGCTCTTTTTACTAACATACCTATAAATAAAGCTATTGAAATTGCTATTAAGAAAATTATGATCAAATTAACGGCGTGACAATGGGAAATCCATTGGTACTAAGCATTACGTATTTATTTATGAGTAATTTACAACAAAACCTGAATTATATTATAGGTATGTTGATAATATATTTATGATTATTAACAGAACACAGAAAGATATATTAAAAATTAAAAATTTAGATAATAAAGTGTTTTATTATCGAATTAGATTCTTGTTTAATTACAATAAATTGTTCTTTTTCGTATCATGAAAGTCTTCTTATGTTTAATCGAAAAATTAAAAGAAAAATAAACTACTTGAAAATCGTTATCAATCAAACGTCGGCAATATTCTTCTGTATTCTTGCTGAGTTTTCTAATTCTATTTTTGTTTTAAGAGCACTAGGTGGTATTTCTGCAGTACGAGGATATCGAGCTAAATATTCCAAATCATCCAAAATGGGGGCTACCGATCGAATATATTGTTTAGACGCATCTTTGAATGGTTGATGATCCCAAGGCTTCCATTGACCGATTCGAAGAGCGGCATCTGTGAATCGTCTTTGACGTTGTGATCGAAGAACTTGAGCAGTAATAGAAGGTATATCCCAACGTTGCTCTGCTTCTTTTATAAATTGATCTAAAATTTGTGCGTGTTCTGCTGAAGGCTTTTGTGCCAGATTGTTCATCTCATTTGGATCATCTTTAATATTGAAGAGTTGAGGAGGATCAATCGAACAATAAATAAATTTGTAGATGCCTCGACGAATCATCATGAGAGGAGCAAGAGTACCTTCTGCCATATATTCTCCAACAACTTCGTCATGCTTATTCTTGGCATCAGTAAGATGTGGAAGAAGTGAACGGCCATCGATAGCAAGGTCTGTTTGAAGTTGACCACCAGCTAAATGTACGAGAGTGGGAAATAAGTCAACCGTAGAAATAGATTCTTGCACTCGATGTGGTGAGAAGTATTTTGGTGCGTAAACTAAGAGAGGAACACGTGCAGAAGGTTCCAAAAAACTCATCTTATACCATAAACCACGTTCACCTAGAAAATCACCATGATCTCCCGAAAAGATAACAATTGTATCATCAGCCAAATCACATTCTTTTAAAACTTGCAGAAGTTTGCCCACATTTGCATCGACATACGAACAATTACCATAGTAAGCACGTCGAGCTCGACGAATGGCTTCTTCACTCATTGGATTATCCCAAATATCAATGACTTTCATTAAACGTGTTGAATGTGGATCTTGCTCCTCTTGCTTAATATTAATAGTTGGCAAAGGAATATCTTCATCCTTGTACATATCCCAAAAATGCTTTAGTGTCGTATAAGGATCATGTGGATGAGTCAAACTAACAGTTAAACAAAATGGTTGTTTTTGGTTGGGATCCACAGATTTACGTACATGATCGTAAAGGTATTGCTGAGCTTTGTACATAACCTCTTCATCAAAATCAATCTGATTAGTACGTACACAATGTCCAGCATCAAGAACAGAACTCATATTATGATACCAATCTTGTCGTACGTCACTTAAATCCCAATTTACAGTCCATCCATAATCGGCCGGATAGATATCACTTGTTAATCGTTCTTCGTAACCGTGCAATTGATCACCTCCTACAAAGTGCATCTTTCCAGACAGACATGTATGGTAGCCAAGACGTCTGAGATAATGAGCGAAAGTCGGAATATTCGAAACAAAATCGGCAGCATTATCGTAAGCACCAATCTTACTTGGTAGCTGACCACTCATAAGCACAAAGCGAGATGGTGCACAGAGTGGACTATTACAATAGGCTGAATCGAAGACAACAGATTCTGTGGCTAGACGACTAAGATTTGGCATCTTGATAGGTGAATTTGGATCGTATAAAGGTAGAATTGGAGCACACATTTGATCGGCCATAATAAAAAGAATATTAGGTTGCTTCATTGACGGATATGTTGTCTCTTGAGACATGTTGATAATCTAGAAAAGCTTTGTATAGAGACAAACAAAAGACATAATAATATATAGTATATAAGTAAAGAAGAAAGAGAATGTGTATATTTAAAAAAAAATGTTTCGAGTGAGAATTATATTTTTAGTGAGGCTCGATTTTATACAGTAGTACATAAGAGAAAAAAGAAGAAGAAAGATACGATATCTACCTGTGAATGTTGAGTAAATAAGAAGACCACGCCATTCATCTTATTCAGATAAGTAACTATTAGTTGTGAAGAAAAAGTACTCTTTGCTTTAGATGGATACCTGATTGTATATGCAATATGATCTCTAGCTAGACATGAGATAAAACTCATTATTCACTGTTAAGATCCAAAAAAAATATCTTTTCTTACTTTTGTCTGTGTTTATCAAAACGAAATATGACAATAAACAAATGTTGTCCTACGGAAAAAACACCAAGCAAAAACAAATAAATTCAAGAGAATGTGAGTAGAATTAATACCATATCCATACTTTTACTTATGTTTCTATGTATATATTCATAATCTCAATACATTATTAGATATTCTTGTTTGAATATAAATTCTTTTATTTTGAATAATCAGAATAAATATGCAATATAATAATACGAAAATCGAGATGACTATGATGAATAAATAATTGTTGAAGATTTTTACTTGCATGTTGTTGATAAGAATATAATAGATTTTAATTTAAACGAGTATATTTTTTATCTTTATTTATTATATTATTAATTATAACAATCATATATACGCATATGAAGAATCAAGTAGAAAGACAAATGGATATGCAGCTTAATATCAATTAGATTTGGACTGTACTCTTATCAAATTAATGCTTCTTGTCATTACTTTCTCTTCGAATTATTTTATTGTTGATGTTTATGAAAGTGCGCATCAAGATAGACGTTTTAATAAGATTAGACAAACAGCAAGTGCTTATATAAATAATGATGTTCATCATCTTGTGGATGACATTGTTGAAAAGACAAAAGAAATATTAGTTATTAGGCAATATAAACCAAGACGATGATGGGAGAAAACATTAATATTAAGTAAATATCTATATCTTTCTGTAGAAGTCACTATGTGTATTAATCGCCTAAATGAACTTGCATAAAATACTTAGAAATGAGTTTTGCCTAAATTTCTCTCAGTTTTACAATAAAGAAGGATGATTATATGCGTTGATTTCTATAGGTAAAAGTTTCTTTTACATTGCATGTTCTCTCTTTCATTTCCCTATATCTCTTTTATTAGTGAGAGTTCGTATACATTTTGTGCGAATTATTCTTTTGTTAATACAATTTGAGCAAGCAAACAATTTCAGAATATCATCAACGAGATGTTTTAAAAGATATGCAGAAGTTTTTACTATAAAGTATATTTTCTACATTTATCTAAAAAAGAGAAAGTAAACACTAGTTTTCTTTAAATAAATGAAATAACATTCCAAATTTCTATAGTTTGAAAATTGTTTTTCGAATTACGAACCATTCGATTTAAAAGCTTTGCAACGAGATAAATTGTTGAATGATTATCTTCCCAGCATTATCAGTATGATTCTTTTATTTTTATCATTATTTCATATTCAATTCAACAATATTGATACATTCAAATTATTCAGGTGATCTAAGGCTAGCAAATACATATTACTTCAATTGTTTAAAAGTAGAACTATATATAATCAATGTTCTTATCTATTTGGGTATGAGGGTGAAGGAGTTTGATTGTACATATGAGTTTAAGAAAACGATATTAATTGTATGACTCTTCTAAAAAAATGATTTAAATTTATTTAAAGATATGGATATTTGATGTACTACGTTGTTCTAGGTATTTAAAAAAATTAAATGAATTAAGAACTATAATAAATGGCTTGGTAAATAGAGGAACACATATATATCATATCGAAATCTATCTAGAAGCTTAGTAGTTGGATACACTGTATTGTACGATAGAGATATACTCAGGCAATTATAATACTACCAAATCATTTACTGATATGTTTCACAGACTGTAAGCTGATTAGGACAGTAAGTAATAATTGACATCACACCTTAGTTTCGAAAATGTATTCATATGAAAAGATTTATAATTCAATATACTAGGAAATCGTTTTAGTAATGAACTCTTGGATTTTATTAATGTTGCTCATTTTGAAATATTTGTAAAAACAATGTTTTTCCTGAAGTGTCTATCTATAATTAATCGCAGTTATTAGTATTTCTTTGATCATTTTATTCCTGAATAATAGATATTTAAAAAAGAAATAAAAATGCATTCAACCTAAAACAAGCTAAGGAGTCATCACTAACGTCATATGGCTTTCATAATATTTCTGTATTACTACATACTCCGTTTTAGATATAATAATAGAGTTGACTGTTGTTGACAATCATTTATGACGATTTATTTCATCCTTTAATATCAATTTGTATGGATTCGATTCAGACATCTATGATCTGTTTAGGTATATCATAAGTTGTAAGTACTTGAAGAATATCCTCTTTAGTTTGTTTTCTTTGTACTGATTCATCTTTTTGAATTTGTAATAGGTCATCTACGATTGATATGACAAATTTTGATCATCATAGAAGTTATTGTTCGCTGTACTCAGTTTCGAATATTTTAACATAAACTGTTAGTGAAGAAGAGGTAACCACTTCAAGACCCACTCTCACACTGGCTACACCTCAAAAAAATCAGACATTCATTTCATATATACGGAGTACATACTTTTTGGACGTTTGTGTAAGATCGAAATGCTAGAAGGCATGTATTCGCGGGTTCATCTATTTTTTTATTAATTCTTCTTGATTAAAACACTAAAGAAAAACTACGGGGAAAAAAGAGTAAAATCGTTCAACAGCGTCTCTTCAAACAGCACTGCTTTTCAAGGCTTCATCTTAATATTACATTTTGAATCATCTGAAATCTTCCCTTCAGTAAATTGTCCTTCGCATTTATTGCCATCAGACGAAGTATACATTCCGTAACCCATTTTCATATCGTCAAGCCAATCACCTATATATGTATCACCGTTAGACCAAGTCATAGTTCCTTTACCCGTTCTCATATCCGCCTTCCAGTCACCCATATAGTGATTACGGTTAGACCAGATCATAACACCTTTGCCGCTTTTCTCATGGTTGAGCCAAGCACCGATGTATTTATCACCATTATACCAACTTACCATGCCTTGGCCTGTCAAGTTTCCGTCAATCCAATCACCCGTATAATTGTTACCGGTGTTAGAGTACAGTGTGCCGAATCCGTGCATAATGTTGTTTTTAAATTGTCCTTCATATCTATTGCCATCGGGCCATATGTAGATACCTTGGCCTGTTCTCATATCGTCAATCCAATCCCCCGTGTAACTGTCGCCGGTAGACCAGATGAAAAGACCTTTACCGTTTGCCAGATTGTTGCGACAAGCACCAATGTATTTATCACCGTTATGATAAGTCATACGACCTTGACCCTCCATTTCGTCGATTACCCAATCACCCGTATAAGTCTGCCCGTTACCAAAATAATAGGTACCAACTCCGTGTCTCCAATTATATTTAAACTCCCCCTCATACTTACTACCATTGAACCATGTGAAAATACCTTGGCCAGTTCTCATATTGTCAATCCAATCCCCCGTGTAACTATCGCCGTTAGACCAGATGAAAACACCTTTGCCATTTTTCTTATTATCAAGCCAAGCACCAATGTATTCATCACCGTTATAAGAAGTCATAATGCCTTGACCCGCTCTGTTTTCCCCAATCCAATCACCCTTGTAGTTGTCGCCGTCGACAAAGTAATAGGTGCCAACTCCGTGTTTAACGTTATTTTTAAATTGCCCCTCATATTTATCACCATTGGGCCACGTGTAAATACCTTGGCCTGTTCTCAAATCCTCAATCCAAGCACCAATGTATTTATCACCGTTAGGCCAAGTCTGGTTACCCTGACCCGCTCTTCTCCCGTCAATCCAGTCGCCAGTATAATTGACACCGGTAGCATGATAATAGGTGCCTTGTCCATGTTGCTTGCCGTTCTTGGTCTGTCCTACGTATTTATCGCCATTTCGGAAGATCTCGACGCTTTGAGCTGCTATTAAAATAAAAACTGTGTTAATAAAACTTCGGCAGGACTGAAATCTGAAAGTCATAGATAAGAATGCTTCTCTATTGATTTATTCTGACGTCGCAACAAATGTGATCAAAAGTTCTGCATGAAGCCACTGTTGCATTTAAAGATGTTAGTTGCATTTAAGAAAATGCGACTAGTTGAGTTTGCAAGTGCCACTCACATTTTCATAATACGTTCGACTCTAGTATGTTTTAGTTGGTATAAAATAGATTTCTGAATATCTTCTCCTTACATAGAGTTGTCGTACACTTAAAACAAGCTACCGATGACAACTCACAATATGACGAAGGAAAACCAGAAGGTTACTGAGTATCTGGTGACCTTGATAGAAAGGCTCCTTTTTCATACTAAGTTAAAATAAATTCGGGCTTCTATTTGTTTCAACAATGTATTTTCAAATAGACGTGGTTAATCGATCGCCGATACTTCCAACATATGGAGGATATAAGTGAAAGTAAGATAATGATCATTGAAAAACTATATTTCTGATTTTTCTAATCACAACCGTTCTCTCTTGGTTATATGCGCGGTGTTCTCTGTTCACTACATACTGAAAACTAAAATAAATATTCCATGTGTAATTTTGGGTTCGTATGGGCTCGTTACACTGGTTTCGATAATTTCGTTCTTTCGGGAAAAACTTAGCTCAATTACTAGCTGCTTTATTTATTCAGAAACTAGGCAATCAAAATAATGACTATGTTCATTCACTAAGATATCATCATTATCACTTTGAATCGCCTTTTGGAACTCATTGGGCGAAGGACTGTCTCATGTTCTGCTGCCCATTAAAGAGATAGAAAGACAACAATGATAAGTCATTGAAGATCTTTCGCGAGGTTAATGATGCTAGTAATCGATGGTAGGCAGGGCTCAATATTGTCATAGGCAGTGAAGACATCAAATAATATTATATCAGCACGCTTAGTGACACGTGTCGAGCACTAAGAATAGCTGAATTGGGTATAATACCATATCATTAAAACAATTGAAATTATGACTATTAGCGATTCGAAACACTGGTAATACGGATATCTTGGAACTTGTGTATCACATACACAGACAACGACTGGGTATGAACATGGAACGAGGCGAAGCTAACATTTATATGAAAAATCTTAAGATTTGTACAATTAGTATATTTCAATGTTATCTAAAACAATATAGGGATGCGTTTTGCATAATTCGTTACGAGCTGAATACTGAAAAGTCATTGTCATCAGGTACGATTATTTTGAATTATTTCTCTCGAGTTCACTATATCACTATTTAAAGATGTGCTTGCAACGTGGATTTTTCATCGAAGTTTTGTTTTTTCCGAGACATCTTTTCAACAGATGAGAAAATGTCGCGAGACTTTACAAGAAATTCCACATCAAATGTGAATGTCGCGTCGTAAGACTATGGGTACTTACATGTAATATTCAAGTCGAGTTCATTGGCAGTGGTAGTCGTTAAATATTCATATGAACTTGAATAGATGCAAGTTGAGTTGAGACACGCGTATGTGTTACGTGGAACACAAGGATTGTTTCGGACATTGATACAAGCATCAATACACGACTCGACAGAATCAGTCAGCGTGAAAGCAATACTCGAGTCTGTACCATATGGACATTGACATTCGCAAGTGTATGGCCTGTTGACTGGTGGTTCGTACATGCCTTGAATGGCTGCCTTAATGAAGTTGTGGTAGGCACTTACACGAGTATATACTCCAGGTTTAATTGGAAGTGTACAGTTTGAAGAGCTATAACTTGTGATGCCCACTAATACCCACCGTTTTGCCGTCGTGAATTGCATCAATGGTCCACCACTATCGCCTGGACATGAATCTTATTGAAACAACATTGGAAACTCGGTATTTTTATATGAGAAAAGATTTACCTTTATTCAAGCCATAAGCACAGATTTGAACTGTTCTATTAGTGAGTGTATTTGAGCAAGCGCTGGTTGAGTCGTCCATCACTTTGAGAGTAACTTGTTGGAGCTTATCAGAAGCAGTATCATTCTGTCTAGTTTGACCCCATCCAATCGTCATAACACTTGTGCCGGCTAAGGGATATCGTGATCCAGTTTTGACACTAGGAAGGCATATTTTTGAAACCCATCGGTCGGTGAAGTCCAATGGCTCATCGAGTTCGACAATTGCAATATCATTTTCATGCGTTCTGTTGTTATGTCCATGATGAATAATGATTTGACGTACTGAGCGAGTTTGTAGACAAGCATCCGATAGACGAACAGATCCAGCACAGACAGTGATATCCGACAATATGCTCATCCACTCTTGTTGTACACAATGAGCAGCCGTAATGATGTAGCTTGCCTCCAGAATAACTCCTGCACAGAAATGCTCCTCCTAATAATCAAAAATATAAAAAACGATGTTTTTTTTATGGTTGTAGGCTTGTTTGTAAGTATTCAAAAAGTCATATTCAAATGGTGCAAACATCTTTTATGATTAATTTTTTTTAACTGTAACTGATATTACAACATCAATAGAAAGCGCTTAGTTTACATATTGTTTATTAATGAGCAAGATAGTGTTAGAAATCGATGCTGACACTTATTAAATATAACTTTTTAAGCATGTTTAATGTTTACCTTGTCGAACCCTGCATGACGCAGTGAAACAATCCATGGCCAACTTTGTGGTATAGAAGATTCGCCACCATGGATTTTAGGTACTATGGGAGAAACTGGTGAACATCCACACGGCGATGTTTGATCACATTTATATGTAGTTGCATCTCCGTGATGAATTACATATACGAACAGAAGTATAACTAAGAAATTGACCATCTTACACATTTACAAGTAATAACTTGATTTCTTGAAACGGGAATCATGGAATCGAACTTAAATACAAAAATATGTTTCATAGTAATGTCAAACTATAACCTTTATATTTTATTATTGATTGTGCAATTATTATCATCTCATGTTATTTGAGAGCAGGTCTTCTAATAAAATGGATGAGCACTTCCCTTCTGACTCATAAAACATTTTATCTTTTTTTATATCTTATCAAGTGGAATGAAATTATTTTTTGGCGTCATAAAGTTTTGTTCTGTTCTTTTCATGAAAATATCACTTGGAATGTTGGAATCGAACTTTAATACAAAAACATGTTTCATAGTAATGTCAAATTATAACCTTTATATTTTATTGTTGATTGTGCAACTATTACCATGTCACGTTATTTGAAAGTACTTCCCTTCTGACTCATAAAATATTTTATCTTTTTTTAATATCGCACCAAGTGAAATGAAATTAATTTTTAGCGCCATAAAATTTTGTTCTGCTCTTTTCATGAGAAAAATTAATTGAAATGATGTAATTGAACTTAAATACAGAAACATGTCTCATGGTAATGTCAAATTATAACCTTTATATTTTGTTATTGATTGTGCAACTATTACCATATCATATTATTTGAGAGTAGGTCTCATGAGTAAGAACTATATTTTCAGTGAGACTCGATTTTATACAGTAATACACAAAAGGGAAAAGAAGAGAAAAGATACAATATCTATCTGTGAATATCAGACAAATAAAAAGATCACGCCATTCATTTTATTCAGGCAAGTAACTATCAATCAAGTTGATAAATAATTCTATTAATTGTAGGTAAGTTTAAAAAAATTGAATTCGGATCGAATATTATCGTTGTCAATCGGCAACTATTAGCCATAAGAATTTTTCTTAATAGTTCACTTGAATATTTCTATTTGAGATATTTTATAAGAAATTTAATAAGATGTCGGAAATCTCTTATTTTATTAATTAATATTAATAATTGATGACTTAGTGAATTATTCTAATATGAATGTATGTGAAATTAGAAAGCATCATCAGTAAATTCGAATCAAACATTTCCATTGATCACAAATGATTGTATATTTAAATTTATTCGTAGTACGATATGTGTAATATCACTTCGTTTGCTAATGTTTCCAAAATCATAATTGTAGTCATCTTCTACAGACAACTATTTACAACATATGATTCGAAAAAAAAAACGTATATTCTCATAAGAAAATAATGCATACTATTCAATAGCAACAATCATATGAGAATTATTTTTTTTATTTCTGAATTAAAAAAAGAAGAAGAAGTAATAAACGAAAAATTTGTACCAACAGTTTTACTGTATTTCTTCCACATGATGATATTTGATAGAAATCTAAAAAATCTTCATGTATGGTGGAGAAGGTAAATTTGCATCTGTTGCACTATAAAGAGCTGCTTCTTTAAATAAACATGGTGTTTCTCGCCAAAGATAACGTAGACCATATAATTGTTTTCCACTACATGAACTTGGTATTGCTAATGTTAGTGTCAATCCAGCTCTAGTTGTTACAGCCGATGGAACCCATAATGCATCATTTGAACATTGACTTCCTTGACAACAAACCTAAGAAGAAGAAGAAGAAGAAGAAAATATAAGATTTTCTTAGGAGAAAAACAATAGAAAATAAACCTCAAATCCAGCTGGATTACGTAATTCAATATTAGATACACCAGTATAAACTATATTCACTGTTTGACTACCAGCCGTATAAAGAACATTTTTCACAATAGGACCTTGAAATTCAACTGCTTGTCCATAAGCAACTGCAAGTCCAGCTCGTGAAAGACGATATCCAACATCATGTTTAGTTCGAGGATGAATACTAAATAGAGAGAAATTAATGTATACTTCACGTATTGTTTGAAAACATGAGAAGAAAAAAAATCCTAACTCACTTATTTGGATCATCACGTAGATCTAAAGCAACAGCCATAAATACTTTAGGAACAACATCATTTGGAACATAACCAACATTAAATGTTTGTTGCCATCGTAGCATAGGAAATCCTCCAACAACTGAACTATCATTGGTGAATGTTGATAACTATAAATATATTAATTAATTTTTCTTATCTATTTAAGAACTAATATGTTAAAAGAAAATTTACTTGAACAAAACCAAATGGAAATTGAATATCGGTTATGCCTTGTGTACGTTCATTCCATGTTTGTCGCCAATATTGAATCATTTTTTCGAATTTACATGCATATGTAGGATTACCAGCGTTGGCTTCACCTTGATACCAGATAGAACCATAGATAACCATACGTGTAAATGGATAGATCATTGCATTAAATAAATCTGAATTATTAAGTGGTGCTGTTGGCATAGTTTCAGCATATGATTGTATCGCTACATTTGTACTTCTATGAAAAAAAATCCAAGAGAAAATTTAAAATAAACGAAATAATTTTTGAAAACTTACGTTGTATCGTTACACTCTTGTAATGCTTTTGGTGGCATCCATACTTCAATAGGTGTTCCACCCCAGCTAGTAGCAATAAGTCCAATTGGTCGGCCACCTAAGGATTCATGAATCATACGACCATAAAGCCAACATACAGCTGACATATACTTCCAGTCTGGTCCACCAACACTACTTGGAGATGCAACAGACCATTGAAGATCAATACCAAGTAATTCTTCAACGGGTACTGCTGAAGGTAATAATGAAGCAGTAAATACTCTTATTTTAGGATATTTGGCAGCGTTAGCAATTTCTTCTGTTGCATTGAATATTAAACTTACTGTCATTTGCATATTTGATTGACCCGAACAGATCCAAACATCACCAAATAAAACATCACGAAGTATAATATTAACAAGACTTCCATTAGCTAATGGTTGCGAAACATGAATATCATATGGTCCTTCATCAGATACAGCGTCAAGTGTTACTGACCAAATACTTTCACCTTGTTCATTTGCTGGTTCAGAACGACTCATAGTTGTATAAATTTTATTGTTCATTCTAAGTGTAGTTAATTTACTTGCATCACCAAATCCCCATACAACAGCTCTTTGTGGAGCTCGTTGAAGTACCATATGATCTTGTAGATAATTAGCAAAACGTGGTACTCCATTACCTTAAATGAGATCAATTATTTTTTTTATTTAATAATAAAATTTAAAAGTAAATTAATACTTACATTGAGTAATGAGAGTAAATACAAGTAGCAAACCTACCGTAATAGAATTCATCTTTATGTTGTGTGTCGTTAGTTTTTTTTTTGACTGTAAATATTTAAAAGATAAAAATGTGTGCACAAATAATACTTTTCTTTTTTTAACGTTAGTTAATGTTGAGATAAAATAAAGGACCAACAGTGGACGACACATGCTTTTTTTAGATAAAGTAAATGAAGGTGTGGATGTAGGTAAAGATATCGTTGGATGGTAATTTTATTTTTTCTTTAAC